ATTAGAACTGAGAGAAAAAAAAATAATCAAGACTCTATTGGTTGAATCTGTAGTTAGTTCTCTGCCTTTACAGGCTGCTGTGGAGAGAACCCCTGAGAGGACTGCAGAACACAAGCAGATCCCAAGTCAAAGAGACCGAGTTTGTCTTTCCAAACAACATTTGGCCACATATTCCTCAACTCAAAGACCTCTCAATAGAAAGGGATAAGTGCCCACACTCGAATGTGCCTTTGGAAACGACTGATGCAAGTCTCATCTGTCACAGAACCACCAGTAAAGGTTCTCATCTGGGTCTAAACCACACTGAAAATGTACCCACAGGTTAGTGCAGGTGCATTGCTGGCACGTAGCTTTGGAAAACAGAGCACTCGATCGGGTGGAAAGCAGCAGTGTTCCTGCCCTCCTCTCCTCTGCCCTCTGGAAGAAGGAACCCCTCAAGATGAGTTCATCTCAGCCCCTGGCCCACAAGGTCCTGCAATCGCAAAAGTGGGTATTTCTAAGCCAAGTCAAAAAGGAATCCATTTCTTTCTCAGCATCATACAGGAATTCTTCAAGGCCAAGGAAGCCTGGTCTATAAGGTGCCCTGTAGCTTTGTGCAACTGCTTTACAGTTTACTCTTCCTTTTTTTCCTGAAGAAGAGGCTGACAACTTGATTCCTGAAAGCACAATTTATAGGCCAGCTTCAAAGCTATAGGTCCTTCTAAGGCTCTGGTTGGGGAATTCACATCAAAGACGATGCGCACATGTTGTTCTGATGTCAGAGAGGACGGTTGGCAGAAATCTCTGTGGATTTACTGCAGTCCCCAGAACAGGGATTAAATTATGCACTGAAGCTGCCTCTGTAAACTGCAGGAGACAAAGAGAATAAGTGGCAGTGCAATATCTCATAATCAAAGCCTGGCACAGTTACCTGTATCAGCCTCGTCTAGCTATCTGGGGATTAAGAGAAGGGACATGCGCCACTGAAGGGGCAAAGCAGAAGATGGGTTTCTTTTCAGGAGTGTCACCTCACGTCCACTTTTCTTGAGAAAATTATCCAATATGTACAGCACCAAGATGGATAAAAGTTTCCTCAGGTTTTGCACAGTGTTAATGAACCAAAATACTTTGTGATTTAATCTAATTAGACCTGGTTTTGAGGTACAGAATGAGATCCCACCAACAGTTTGTGCTATTATCTATCCAAATCCAGTACCATTTCCAGTGTCTCATAGCTCAGGAAGATCTACTTCAGAAATAATAATAACTAAAAAAAAAAAGAACCTATCATGTAACAGAAAATAATTTTTTGTATCATCCATCAGTCAAGCAACACAGAAGCTCACGTATAAACAAGTTTCTCGCTTTTAACTTTTGCACATCTGTCTACTTTGACCTGCAGGGAATTGCTCTAACCCATGGTAAGTACATGTGCTCATCACAAGTGCATCCAGCCACACTGAAGACTGCAGGAAAAAAAAAAAAAGACAATCTGAACTGGTTTCTTTTCACTGTTGGATTTATTGCCAGGGAGGACCAGCCTCTTCCACCTCTGGCTCTGGGACAAACTGTTCCACAAGAAAAAAAGAGGGCTTTACTGACAATAGCTAAGATTTGTCTCAAAAGAACAAAGCAAAGCAGCTAGCAATAGAATTTTCCTCTAACCAAATCACTACCTTGTCATCAATGATTCCCTCCTTCATCCAGTTCCACCATCAGTACTGTCTTTTCATTAATCCCTTTCACAAAGTATCTTTTGTACTAGGAAATGGGTATTGCATTCTCTCACTTGCCAGGTGTTCTTACCTCTACAATTTAGGCTGAGTTAAAGGGATTTATTACAGTGATTTGCTTCAAAGCCACTGTATCCCAGCTCCTTCAACCCCTTTACAAACGTTCCCTCACAGCACAAGGCTGTTCTCCGCTCTCCCCTTCAGCCTCTTTCACGGCCCTGTTTGCAGACACAGCTGCCATCATATCCTACAAACTCACTACTCACCCTCATTTCCTTTTAACTTCTTTCTTCCTCCAGTGCTTTCTTACACTTAGCTACTGGTGAAACGTTTCTTCTAGTGGGCAAAAGAAGGCATCATTATCCTTTGAGCTCACATCTTAACACTATTTCATCAGTAAATTACTGCTTGCTGCAAAAAAACAAAACAAACCTAAACCAACCGCCCTTGATTCATTTAATGTTTTGTCTGGGGTATTTAACACTCTCTGTAAGCCAACAAGGACACTTACAAGTAAATAACGGGTGAACAGTGCACAAACATGCACATATGCAATACTTTCTGGATCAGTTTCCTTTTATAATTAGCACTCAGTTATTCTGTCATCTCACAGTAATTTCATGGTGAGCTTTATGATTTCACTTCCCTCTGAGGTTTACCTGTAGTTTAACATTCAAAGTTGGTTGTTGCACAGAATATCTCGACAGACTTGTATTAAAAATGCTCTTTAAAATTCCAAAGCTTTGAACTAAAGAAATATCTCAAGAAGTTTTCATGGAAAGTTCATCTCAGTTGGTTCAATTCAGCTACGGTTAGATGCACCTTTTCAAATAATGGAAAAAAATGTAAAGGGGTCAGACCCAATCAATACAGTTGTTCAAACAGAATTTCAGGCACTATGATGTGTGTACTTTTTGTGCTCTTTCTTTGTACTGCTCCACTATGAAGAAAGGTTGCTTTTGCTGGTAGAGCAATAAAACAGTCGTAGCCTTTTGAATACAGCCCAATAACCAATGGGAATGTTCACTAGGTGTGGAAAATATAGCAACTTTTCATGTCTTTCCTGTGCTTGCCTTTGTTCTTTTTATAACTACGCAATATACGCACACACACCACAAGCAAACACTTGAAAATACTCAAAGACAGACATAAATCAGAGGAGTAACATCAGATCATGCCTTCCCTATCTTCCAAGTTTTGACACTAAGTAAATCCGGTCTTTCTTTCATATAACATCCAGAAGTTAATTGCTAAAACACTTGGGAAATGTGTGGTTTTATGCAGAGCAAAAGCCACCAATATAAAAGATATACACATTTATTTAGAGATCTGGAAGTCAGACGGGTAAATGAGGAAGGTGGAAAAATAACCCCATAAACAACACCAATGGGAGCTGGGCAACCCATCCTCCCAAAGCTGATGGGTACTTGAGCCCACCTCATTTGCCCTCTGGCAATTTCTGGAAATAGCAGCACATGAGTTTAACAGTATCGTTCAGCAGCTTTCAGTTCCAGATAGCTGCAGCTTTCCAGAATAGCATCTCTCCATACAATTGTTTCCCCCCAAAAAACTTACTGGCAAAGTGTTTTTTTTCCCCTCCCTAACTGTTCCAAAGCAGTATGAATGCCACTCAGACAGACAGCTGTATGTCCTCGTACATAGAGAGGCAACAGCACAACAGGATTCCTGGCAGGCCGTCAGCACATGAAATAGTAAGAAGTGGGGTGGTGGTGTTACACGAGTTCAGGAAGTTGGAAGCTGTGCTACTTACAACCATCAAGCTGCATTTTTATGATAAAACACCAGTGCAAAAAACATAGGTAAAAGGTATGCAGTCTGCATAATTTTTGCCTGGTGTAACATTAGAAAACACTGACTAGAAGACAGCACCTTCAAAACAACTGTCACTGTTTCTGCTTCCTTATTTACAACTTCACTTAAGCTTCCTAATAGATTGGAGAGAAGCATTGCCTTCTGATTGAAATGCAGCAGTCTGCACATAGATACCTTTTCTTCCTTTCTAGCCTTGATATCAGAGAAGTAGTTAAACCTACAAAACAACATTTTGATGGGCAGAAACAACTGAAAAAGGAAATTGTCCCAAAGCAAATACTACAAGCAAATGAAAATGACCTATAATTATTGATGACTACATGCACTCCTACAAAAAGGTGGTCAATGAAGTATAGCATTTCACATATTTAATGACAAGTTTTAGAAGACCAATTTTCCCCCCCCCCCCCCCCCCATATATAAGATTAATTATGGACACAGACCAAAATCTTTGGAACAGTTCATTTCACTGCAAGCACTCGTGGTATAACTGGTTAATGCAAAAGCCTCCTCTTTAACACCAGCTTGAATGAGCAGACTCTGGGTGCATGACTGAAGGAAAGAAAATGAACATCTCCTGCAACCTGCAAAGCAGAGCTGCACTCAGTCCTTCCCTTTCACTGCCAGAGCAGCACAGGAATTAGCACTCAACGCCTGCAGTGGTTCAGGAGGCTGTGGGCTGCACTCCTCACCCAATTAGGGCTCCATTCTCTTCTACCCCTCACAACAAAGCCTCTGGAGAAGGAATGCAGTTTCACTGAACCACAAAAACACGTGGTCAAAGGCTCCTTTGTATTTCAGTCTGTGAATCTGAGCAACAGACAGAGCATGTCATAAGCAGCTCAGCTGGGAAGCCAAGGACTCACATTCCTAAATGCTCCATCTCGAGGTCCTGGAGTCGACACTAAGCCACAGAAATACCAACTGCTCCTCTGCATTTTGTTCTACATATCAAGTTCCAGAAGCATTAAACACTTCCACTATTCTCTCTTGAACTCACATCCACTGAGGGAACTGAGAGCAAAAGCTGCTGTAGGTCAGCAGGTCACTCTGTGGGGTCAGCTGGACTCCCAGCACCCCATCTGGCAGGAGAAGGAGCCACTGTTTAGATGGAGTTACTTGGGGTACCTTAATCACCAGGCACTCAGGGACTACGAATGTGTCAGACAAACACACATCTATGAGACAGAAGGGTCAGTGTTGCAGTAGTTGTATTTAGGACAGCGCCCTGAATAACCGTTCCAGAATAAAACAGATTTAATCAAATGGTAAGAAATATTTCTAGAAATTATGAATCTTTGGTGTAGGGGGAACGTGATTCAAATTCCAATGAAGAAAGTGGAAAATTCAGGAGCTTCCATGGGATTTACTCTTAGATGTGGTAACAGCACAAACAATGTGGGATGTCAAACTGCACAGATGCTGGTAAGAGCAGGAGAGACAGAGGCAAGAGGAGGCAGTTATGTTAATAGTTTAATCTGTACATAGACCATTTTCCAAACTGTTACATTTAAATTAATGTTTTCTTGCAAAATATTCATTTACGCTCTCAAAACTTTTTTATAAAGGCAAAAATAAATCATTGTTTTGGCAAAAAGGTTTTGAAGTTGATACTGGCAGTATTGAGGTAAAATAGATAACATTAGCTAAATATATATTTTAAAGAACATTTCCGACTACAGTGTTAAGATAATATGATTTGACTCAAAGTCTGAAACTTGAAGTTCAATCAGTTTCCAGGGCTTTGTATCTATTACTTGAATATGGCATATAAACAAGTTAGTAGTATCACAAAATACTGCAAATTATTTCTCAGCTGTTCTTTATCTAGAGCTGAACTCAACTACCTAATATTGGGCAATTTCTGCATCTCTTGCACTCAGTATTTTATTTTATTTTTTCCAGGTAAAGCACTTGTAGCCATTCATTTCATATTCTTTTCTCCTTTCGTAGCCACCTCACCTTCGCCATGTAAGTAGAATGCTGAATTTCAAAGTTTGGCAAAGTAAAGCATGAGGTGAACTTACATGTAAAATTAGCAGGTGCCACATTCCATCAGTTTTACTGTTTCCAGCATAAACACTAGTCAATACGTCATATTGTACTTTTTATTGAATAGGTATTCTGAAGAAAAAATATATATTTACTAGTAAAATGACACATCCTATTTTTCTTATTGCTTACGTGACATACTTTAATTTAAAAGTTTCCTTCTTCCATATCTCAACTTTCAAAAAATATATATACTTTGTTAGCTGGTTGTCACTACTGTCAGGAGCAATGTAGCATGCTGTGTATCAATACCAGCAAGCTAATCATACGCAATCAAAAAAGGAAACTGGAGTTCAAAATTGGTTTTTGTAATGGCTTTCATGGAAAATTTCAGCTACGCTGAGATTTAGGAAATCAAACTACAAGTTCCTTGCAATGTATTATTCCATGGGCAAAAGAGTGGGTGATTAACTCTGCTAAGGTACTCAGCCCAAAACACCCTTACAGCAAACCTCTCAAGTGGGGTTAGCTCTACCCATACCCTACAAACATGTTTCTAGGATTGTTCAACTTGCATTTTTTTCCATAAAACTTTACATTGTGCTTCTGAGCCTGAGGGGGAAGTAACAGCATCTCGTAACAACTATGCAAGTAGTTCCTCTTCAAATGAATTCAGCCCTTAATTTAAACAAATTCCAAAATACATTCTGTTCTAAAAATACATTGTCAGTATTTTACAGAGTTTATTAAAAGTGCCATTCATTCACATAAAAAGTCTGAACTAAACTGAAGTCAAAACAGGATGTTAAGCAATTCTCTCCATTTTCATAGAAAATCCCCCATTATTCTCTGAACATATTTTCCAAAAGAAAGAACCTGTGATCAGCCAGTGAATGCCTTCACAGAGTGCTTGTAATCAATCTCCTCTTTCTTCCACGTGGCGCCACTGGGGTGGGATTGCCTTCGACTCTTACATCATTGCTCACTTACTGCTTTGGCTGGTGTGAAGTAAAATAAAACATGGTTAAATATGAAAGCGAATGCACTGATGCCAAGCAGCAAGCACTTTCAGGAAATGTATGTTTGGATTAAAGCGTCCTGAAGATAGACAGAAAGAAGAAAATTAGTACTGACACGTTAAGCAAACCATTGTCACGTGATGTCACTGAGCTCACGCTCAAAACGTTGGGTCCCCTGCATATTGCTGGTTATTGCAATTATTTTCTTGGTCATTTTTCAAACACACACACACACACACACACACACACGTATATTTATACAGACATATGATAAATGTGAAGTCTGCCTGGAATCAGGTTGAGTTTGAAAGGGACCTCTGGTTGGAAGCTCACCTGGTCCATGCTCAAACCTGACAATATCCTAGCAGGGTCAACTGTTACTCAGTCATAGCAGAGACAGTTAGAATCTGGTTCTCAGAAAGATAAACAGAACCAGAAACACAAATAGCTATTTCCACCAAGTTCTGTAGAACTGCTCTGAATGTCTCTGCACGTCCTCTCTCGCTCTACTTCTCTCATTTACTGCAGCATTTCTGAAGACAGGTCAGTGCCTCATTGGGCCTTTCTGGAACATGCTCATTTTTATTTAGTTTGTATTTGTTGCAGAGGAACTTGATTCAGATTGGTGAAACTGAAAACAAAGGTATCTAAAGATTAACACTATTTAAGGCATTCATTCAATCCACCTGCTTTACTGCTTCATCTCCGTTTTAAGTTCTTATTCAGAATTAGTTAACAAATTAGTCCAAAGGAAATCAGGAACATGAAAACACTTCTGAAGGAAACTACAGATACACAAGTGCTATAACTACAGCACATCCAGCAGTTAGCCATTATAATATTGACAGGTTCTTCTATTTCAAATAGAAAAATCACTGCAAATACTACCAAGAAGAGATGGTAAGTATTTCTTTATATAACTTTATAAGAACAACAAAATTATCTTAACACTTGAAATGTCAAAATTACCAAGTCAGAGACAAAAATTAACACTTCTGTTAACCCAATCCAGCAAAGAAAAAAAACCAAAAACCCACAAAGACACAAAGCAGTCACAGTATTGCAGAATTAGTTATATAGGGCCAAATTTTCAGCTCATCTCAAACAAGACATGAGTTTTGGCCTGTGTACTTTTAGATATCAGCCCATAAACTATCCTCCACCCCCCCCCCACCCCCCTCCGTATACACAACATTGGTTGCACTTTCAATTCACTTGTGCAGCAAGTGTACACGTACAGGTCACATGTAGGTAAAACTGCCTTCAGAGCTCAGCTGCAGCCACAGCTGCATGCAACACTTGCCATAGGAGTACAAACGTGGCTGAAAATCTGGCCCCCCGCTACCAAGAGTGTAGACACCTCTTTCCTTCACCACAGCGAGGACATGGAAGTTCCTCATCTGGAAAGCTACAGCAGTTATTTGAAGACTATTAGCTGTGTTAGCTCATTAGAAGCAATATTTATTATACAAGAATGAAAGTTTTCTGAGAAATGGATGCATGCGTTGATTTGGATCTGATTTAGGTGGTAAAAATTCAGCAAGCCACAGCGAAGATACAATGGTAAATCAGACATGTCAAGAGCAGTTAGTTCTTACTTTTAAGGTGTTTAAACAAATGTGTAGTGAAATCCATTGCTTAAGGGAGAGTGAGGTGGCTGTGGTACAGAAGGTGAGGGTGCTTTGGGTGGATAGGTCAACTGCTGAGCTAGAAGGGATCACATACAGGAATTAGGCTGCACAATCAAACATTCACATTAAAACAGAGCCACCTCAATTTTCTAACACATGAATAAGGAACCTGATTAGTAATGCAGTGAGGTGTTACACTATTGTAGTTACATGGAACACAAACAACATTTCTAATTGCTTTAGAATTGAATTTCTATTAGTCACAGTAAATTACGCAAACGAACATTCTTCTTCTGATGAGAAGTTGGACAATTACCTTATGACTGGAACGTACTAAGGAACACACAACACTCGTGCACCCTAATCAAATCCTGCCTTTAAAATCAGATCTGGAAGGGCACCGCTGTTTAATAATTTGGTTTTGAGATTTTTCTGAGGTTGTACAGGTTCTCAGCTTTCCATTGGTTACAGATAAAAAGCAGAAATTAAGAAAATCACAAACAAAAATATTTTACAGATATATGTAACTTTTTATGTAATGCAGTGCACAATAAATCAATTCTCAGAGCTCAGCTTGAAACTTCAAAATAAAAAATAAAATAGAATAAAAATATTCTTGTCTATAAAGCAGAGTAATTTAAAGACAGTAACTCTGAAACAGTCTTAAATTCTGCTTTTTCATTTTAGAAGGCTAAAGGTTTCCAAAAAAACACAATTCAGGAACTAAATTCATAAAATGTGCACATCTTACTTTAATCTTTCAGATTCTTGGCAGGATTTCTATTTAGGAGGTGGATTTCCTACTAGCTCAGAGGAACTCTACAATGCTACGTGACAGACATTAGACAAATGCACAATCTATACTGAAAGTGAAGTGCATTATCACAGCATCCTAACGTTTGTTATCTGCTTCACAGAAGAAAAATGTAAGGAGTTAAGCCTGAGTCTCTTTCAAAGCAAATCTTGATACAAAATCTGGACACGTAGGTTTGGATTTTCAGCTACAGTTTGCTTCATTGGCAAAAAGCAACTTCAAAAAATATATATTTTAAATTCAAAGAACAAAATGTGAAGGAATATGTAAAATTGGAATAAATTAGAATGTGCAATCAGCTGTGCGAAGCATCACATTATTTTCATTTTAAATCACTTTAGATTATCATAAAATGCCCCATAATCCGAAATCCTGAATTCTTTTTATGGATTGCACACCACCAGTCAAAATTAAACTACTCTGGCTGCTTCATTGCTTTTTTAAGAATTTCCAAAATTTGGAATAATTTCAAGCAAGAGTGTTAGCTTTCCCCAGAAGAAGCTAGAACTCATATGGCAAAATGCTGTGTTGGTTCATACCTCCTGAAACACCTAAGACCCACTCCGTAACCAAAACATGAAAGTCAGTGGTACAGTACCAAGGACCTCATTATTAGAACTGTGACCAGAATGCCTGTGGAGAAGACTGAGGATCTGAAAAGCTATTTCTGAAATGCTTCCAGGACCTTACAATTCTGTTTATTTCTGTTGTCTACCCTCCCCAGTGAACCACTTTTATTCCTTCAAGTCAGTTAAATCACCCATTGAAACTCTCCTTCATCTCAAGATTCCTAACTTGAAAACGTATCCCTTCCCCTGAAAACTGCATTCCCCTTACGTTCAGTTGCCACTGAATCTGTGAGTGTACAGCCATATCCAATCCACAGTCTGTTATTACAGATGCACGTTACGTATCTGGATACTAGAATAATCTGTCTTTACTGGGAAAGTCTTGAGGGCTTTTGTGGCAAGTGTCATCCATTTAAACTGACAGCTTCAGATGAGAAATGGGCACACTTTTCTCCATCATAGTTAAGACTCCATTATTTCTATTCTCCATTGGAACAGTGAGCAGTGCCAGTTATAAATGGCTGCCCAGGTACTGGCTAGAATAACTGCTGCATCTATTACCGTGCCATACAAATCTGTTGACACTTTTTATTTATTTCAACCATAAAGCAATCGAGAGTGAAATTATCATCTTAACTAACATATTGCAACAGGTCTAGTAATCTCCAGACATCAAGCAGAGTTCATGCGTGCTTGTCTTGCTCTGGTCCCTAATCTTGATCACCAAACAGAAATATACCAATACCAATTTTAAGACTTTTAGCCTGCTGTCTCAAGCTGCAAGTGGTTCTACTGTACTTTGAATCACAGAAACCAGTGCATTTCTCTTTTAAATATATATATATATATATATATATATATATATATATATTAAGAAGGGTGTGTATATATAAATCCTTTTTTTTTTTAAATAAGGGACCAATTTACTTTTTAAAAATGAGTACAGAAATAGCTCATTTCATGTAATTATAGGGAATTCATTGGAACTATTACTTTTTTAGTGCTATTAGTGGAGTGAGTTTTCAAGTTCCAAACTTTCTGATCACAGCATATTCTCCCACTGAATGTCAAATGCTCAGCATAAACCTTAACTTCTCTTCATGTTATCTATAGACAGCACTCTGCTATTGTGAATATGAATGTTTTGAATATGAATTGCTAAAAAGTTCTCTTCGGCCAGGAGTTCAGCAAAAACCACACACAACTTTATGAGCAGATAGCTGCTTATATAAGAAACAGCTGTTAGTTGGTAAATAACTAAGTATTACCTGCTACCTCCTTGCTCCTCTGAGAGGCTTCAGAAGCCAAAGCGTATGATATGGTAATGATGCGTTCCTGCTCTTGGAGCTGTGAATCTAAATCAACTGAGTTGTGCTTGTCCTGGGCAACAGTAGGCTGTAGATTGTGCATACTAGCAGGAAAGTGCAAAACAACATTAACATTTACAAACATAAAGAAGAGCCCACTGTGCAGAAAAGAAAAAGCTTCAATTCATACAGTAGTGTTTGGATCTCATATGGCAAGCTCCGTATTCAGCTGAATTCCTTTGAAGCAGTGTTAGATATTGTATTTAACTATTGCAAACAAAGACAAGTAATTGCAGCCATTAACATATCAGTCACAATTTCTGCTTAGCCTTAAGTACACCTGAAAGTCCTTTGTAGCAAACAAGTTATTTACAGGAAAGCACTATAAAAATGTTATTTCTTTGTATCTGTTCATAACCTTTCTTGTTACTGTCCAGAGGAAGTGATGGTCCTCATGTTCAGACTCATTTACATTCTTTCTAGGAGACTACAGGTACTTGAGGTAACCACATTCATGAAAATGCATGTTTCAGCTGCCTCTACGTTAGCCTGAAGTAGCCAAATTTTATCCTGCTTTTGGCTGGATCTGCACCTTTGCCTCTCCCCCCTCTCACCTACAGATTGTGTAGTAACAACTTGCTACTATTTTAAGGTGCTCCAAACAAGAAAATGGACATATGCAAAATCTGTCATAATTAGAATCTCTGACGCTTGGCTTTAAAAAGGAACTTTAAGTATGCTAAGTACAATACATACATTCTGTGTGCATTTTCCCTGCTCACGTAATTAAATTGTACAGGAAATAGACTGTTGCATGAAGTTAGATTCCAGTGTTTAACACCAACCTCTGTGTAAGATCAAAAAATAACCGACCTTGATTTAGTAAGAATATTCTTTATCTTCTCTGCTTTACGCTGCCTTGCTGCCAGTTCTTCTGTAGAAAGAGGTTCTTCTGGCTCCAATTCAACATAACGTTCTGGAATTGCAACCTTCTCAGGTTTTGACAACTGTGGAACAAAAACAAGCATCAAGTTTTATCAGCCCAGACTTAAACACTTTGAGATTTAATCTTCTTAACACAAGAATATAGTAAAAACAATAAAGCACAGGTTTGCACTGTCAATACATGTAACCTGCTTCTAAACACTCCCTCTGGAAGTGAGCTGATGCCCTTTTAACAGTGTCTTTTTCCCTTCTTTTAGAAGATAAATCAAACAAATATTAAAGAGGATTACGGAAGAAATTTGAATCAATAGGGAGCCTTTCTTCAGCTCAGCTTTAGAGCCCAAAGTAGGACACTGCTTGTAGCTGTTGCAATAGGAAGAAGAAACGATATACAAGAGTGATGAAGCAACCAGAAATTGTAAATGAACATTGGAAGGTATTTATGTCACTCCAGGATTTCCTGTAAGTGAGAGGAGGTATCGCCTCAAGTTTTAATTTAGGTACCACTCTTCTGCATAATCTTTCTCCGTGAGCAGCAGAAAAAAAACCCACCACCAATTTATAAACACTTTTGGAAATTCCTGGACTGCAGAATCTGAAACGTTAGGTGTTCAAAAGTTGTCCAGGGAACTGACCCACAAATACACCAAGACAGTGCAGTTAACAACACATTCAATGCACAATTATGTAGGTTGAAAATTTTAATTATTAAAATTGATTGCAAAAAAGCTAGCAATGATTTTTGTGTCAGGATCAGTTTCCTCGCAGAAAGATTTTCTTTCACAGAAGATATCTGAACCACCTAATGAACATACGTGAACATAGTTTACAAATGGACACTGAAAGCCAAAGCATAGACTGCTGTTGAAAAGCACAAATAGCAAACATGAATAAATAAAAGTGAGAGAAAGAGAACTTTTCTCCTGCAGCTGGATCCAGCTTTGCCTTCAGTGATGAAGATCAGCAATAATAGGCAACGCACAAACTGCCAATGCACTCCATAAGTAATTGTCATTCATAACCTAAAACCGAGATCATAACCTCAAGTTTTTACAGTCCCTTTCAAAAAAAAACCCCTAGGTCAATGCTTTCTGAAAATAAGGATTTTTTGTTGCATTTCCTTACCTGCAACGCCAGCTCCCCCACAGAGCAACGTGTATATTTATAGTACAGCTAGCTGAGAATAGCTCACCCTGCCACTTCCAAAACAAGAGTTTTCACACAAACAGAGGATTTATCAGCCATAAAAAGTATAGCCTTATGAGGTACAGAACTGGCCAGGTGAAGAGGATGGATAAATGAAAAGGAAAAAGACAACTTGAGGAACTGGAGAAAGAAGCTTTAAACCCAGACCTTCAGACTGTTTCAGTCACATTGAGATATGACAGAAATGTCTACATGCACAGATGTTTCTTGCTAGTTTGGACTAGCAAGTGATTCAAGAAGCCCTGGAGGTCTCAAAGAAAACATGCGCTGGCTCACGTCTGAAATCTAACACACCCAGATTCTTCCCCACCATACAGCTTTCCAGCCACTCTGCCCCAAGCCTATAGTGATGCATGGGTGGGGTTGTTGTGACCAAAGTGCAGGACCCGGCACTGGGCCTTGTGAAGCTCATACAATTTTGTCCTCAGCTCAGCAATCAATCTGTCCAATCAATCTGAAGGCTGGGCCTTCCTACCCTAAGGTAGATCTGCACTTCCCCCAGTTCGGTGTCTGCAAACTTACCAAAGGCACACTCCATCCCCTCATCCAGATTATCAATAAAGATATTAAACAGGGATGGCCTGTTCAGTCCAAGTGCTTCCTACTCTCAAAGTCTTCCTACTGTTAACAATTTCATCGACTTCCCCTGCACTGTGGCATTTCATGCAGCACATACCTCTGCCTTCCACTAGCTATACTCCTCCCTTTCCACTAGATGGCTCAATCGCATTTCAAACAAATACTGCGCTCAGATACCAGAGCTGGAAGCAAATCTCACCCAAATCTCACCCCGGGAACAAGAAGTCACACGAAAAGCCAGCAGAACCTTTTCTGTCATATCAAAACCAAGAGCAAGGTAGCTCTGTGGAACTAGCTTTTACCTCTTAGCACTTTCTTATTTTAAATACTCTTTATGTTGTCATCTTATTTTTTTCTAATTCTCATATAACATTGCCTAACTACCTCTTTTCCCCATGAAGCCTATGTATTTCACAAGGTAGAGCCAACCTTTCCATTTTTTCTCCCCACAAACCTTATAGACATCTCAAGAGCCAGGCCAAAAGTATGCTTTCATTTCAATACCCAGAAGACTCCTTTCAGTTTGAACTTCCAGCTCACTTTTGAAATAAAAGGTGAAAATGAACTACATAAAACTTAAGGTCAATATCAGGGGGAATACATAGGAAGCAAAATTATGAGTGTTACCTCTCTGCTGATGTCTAAATCGTAGTCTTGAGGCTCCAGGTCTGTCTCTGTCACCGCTACTGCTACTGGCTGAACTTTTAACCATTCATTTTCATCCTTGTCTTCTCCACGAATTGCCCTCTCAAGTAGCTGCAAATCAAATTCTTGCTCTCGCTTCCACTGGTAACAGATACAAAACAATTAATAGCGTTCAACCACACTGACAAATTCAACTTTCAGCAATGTACATAACTGTGTCTGCAAAGGCTATTTTGCTGAGAGAATCCACAGAGCAAACTGTTCAACTGATAGAAAAAGAGAAAATGCTGCTGTATTTCTTGCAATTCCTGGCTGGGAGATATAGCAACGCTGAATGGATTTCAGAGTACTGTTTAATTTTATACACAGTGTGCAGCTGTATTAAACTCTATCACATATATTAACCACAATGTTACAAATGCTGATGAACGTGGCACCAGCACAAACATCCACAGAAGTACAGATGTCCGTACAAGCAAGTCTGCAGAGTGCTAGCCTTGTCCTAGGCACTCTAACCAGGCAGTGCTGTGCCACTGCAAATCAGTACACAGAAAGGACATTAATACTGCAGGCTGAGAATCACTGCCTGTTAACTCTACATGTCTTCCTAGAAAAAGACTTAGTGATTGAGGTTGGTATTTTTAGTACTAGCTTTAACTTGTCTGAAATTCAAACAGTAACTTTAATAACTTCTAAGCTACTTTACACTCTATTAACCCAGCTACCTGCAAAAATTAAAAATCTTACACATTCTCCTTACAAGATAAATATTTAGCAATAACATAATCAGAGCATAGTTAAATTAAACAGCATAATTTTAAGAGTCCCCACATTATTGCTTAGCAGCCCCTTCACAGCTACATACAATACAGCTCCATAGAAACTCAAGCTTGAGAGCCCTAACAATGCTTTTGCTCATAAATATCAAAAAACGAGGCTCTGTTGCAGCATCGCCCCATCCAGCAGATATCAGCGACTTTACCGTACGGACTTGAAACATATTAAAAGCAGTGGGGAAGAAAAGGGACAAGAACAATAAGATGACCTCCTGAGTAGGAGAGCATGCCATTATGTTTAATAAAAGTGTCTAATATTTCTATTACATCTCTGGCTTGTTTTGGTTGAAGTTTGAACTCTATATGAAGCCCTTAGCCTCCAGGATGCTACTTGCATTATTAAATCTACTTGAAACCTATTCATGCACAAGCTCTCGATATTCACTCAAAAGACACATGTCCTCCATGTATATTTAGGAAGTTAATATACCTAAGAAGGCAATTTCATCTCAAAAATTAAGATTTCTTTTTCGGAATTCAAAGGAGGAAAAATGTTTTATCGTTCTCACACTCCAAACTTGTTATTCTACTCATATTCGAACCAGGCCTGATTGACATAGTATACTTCAAATACACAGAATCATCTTCAAATTATGTTATGTAGGTAAGAAAAACATCAAACCATTATTACAAAGCAGAATTTTTATTGGCTTTGATGTTGCATTTTTACATTAAAAAGGCATTTTATATAACAAATGAGCCCATGTGCTGTGATCCATACTTCAAATGCCATTCTACACTTGCGAGCTGACTGATTAAAAATTCGAGTTACACATACAATGCATGTTTTAAGCAAATGTTACATACTGAGCAGCATTTCAATTATACATTTAACTGTTTGCCATTTTGGCTGCTAAATAATTGCAATGCTGTAAGTAATTGTGCTATTGAACATGCTTTTTGCGTTTTGAAGCCCTGTAGGTACAAGAGATGATCTCTGCAAAATACTGCTAGGGCTGAAAGACTCAATTTTAATTCTTTACAGCAAGAAAAAGACCAAGATGGCACCCAATCTATAGATAAAGTACTTGTCACAAATGTTAATAAGGAGTGTCACAAAAATGTTTAAATTCAACTTGTGTATGTTATGCCAGACTCCGGAAACATCAGAAGCTCAGTTTTAGTTCCTCTAATTAAAATATGAAAATAATGGTTCTACTGTAGTTCCATATTTCCCAAGTATTACATACTACCTTTAGTAAGTTCGTGATTGCAAAACAGAAGGCAAAATAGATGGATGTCTCCGAGTTGTGCACTCATAATTACTGGGAAAGTAAATATAAAGAACTGGCTGTAAAATAGTGTTACTGAGCGGTGGGAATGAAAGGCTGAATATTATAAGGGGTGGTTTAAATGCCAGCAACTGACACACATGTACTAAATGCAATTAAGCCTGGTAAAAATTGAGTAGTCCAGTTAGAAATTTTAAAATAACTACAAAATTCTGCAAATTAAAAACAAAACAAGCAAACAAAAAGAGGCATTAGGTATGATGAGTGACGAATCTAAAAGCAAGAGATCTTGTGCAATGAATTAGGTAAAACAAGGTGATCGTTCTAAAGCTCTAGTGGACCAAATGAAAAATAAATTAAAAGGCTACAGCGTAAGTGCAATTACAGTACAATCTTGGTTTAGCACCAAGTGAGCAACTGGGTAGCTTCACCAATTGGAATTGCTTTGGTTAGTATCCAAAACGTATCATTACAAACTTCGATTCTGTACAGCATTTAATCTCAGAACACAACAAAAAATCTTTTCTTCAGCAGCTTAGATTTGAGCCTTATTAGAATATTCTACATGTTGAGCTTTAAAGGAGGACTTGCTGCAACTGAAACAAATTTGATCTTAAGTTTCTAATGAGTATGATTAGGTTTCAAAACGTATTATCCATTTCTCCTTAAAAACAGAAACAAAAAAGAAAAACCAACCACACAACCTGCTTGGCCTAATATTAGCACAGCTCTCTTGCAGCCTAATTTGTGAATTTAAAAGAAGAATAACCATGGTAAGAACATTCTAAAAGGCCCATTCCATTATGAAGCAGTTTGAAAATTCTAAAAGTTTCTCACACTTTCTAAATACAATTCTAGTAAAAAACAATCACATCTCTGAATTCGCTCTAACAGAGTCTCACCTCCATCCACTCAGCACACTGACCTCTGACCAACTTACCTGCCAAATCTGCTACATATACTGTAACTACTAGTAAAAAAAAACAACCGTCTGTTAGCTGCACTGTCTCAACTCATTTTATACTGCATAACACTAATTTAATTATACTAGAAGCATCACACACACTCAAGTGAAAGTGCTTGCCAGGAAAAAAAAAATAAATCCAAAGGTATTTCTAGTTTAGTCCTTTTAAGGCATATCTAACATACTGAGCCTATGTCTGCAGAAATGGGCCTGATGAAAGACCGAGATGAAACAGACTGCCTTTCTCCTTGGCTAAGGGTTCTCTTGCGTTCACGAACTAATGCCTTCTGATGTCGTTTCATTCTTTCTAGTTGTTCCTCTGCACTCATCTTGCCTCTTTGGTGGTCTCCAGAGTATAAACGTTCCAAGGCACTCTTTGGTCTCTCCTGAAGAAGTTATAAGGCACACAAAAAAATGTGTTGGAATTAATAAGTTTATAAGGAGCACACAAATAAGCAGCACCTTTCGCCCACCTTATTTCTAAATTAAGACGATTTTGCTCTATCGCTTGGTATTAATTTGAATATTTCAATGTTATAATATCTATTAGTACAGGTGATTTTGGTTCCAAACTTTGTTTTTATAAATCTATTAGAAATGTAGTAAGTTGCTTTTCTACTTCCTGATTTATTTAAGAGAATTAGAAAATAAATAGTATTAAATCATTGGAGATGGGTCCTCTCCCATGGCATTAGAATCCCATCTCCAGCTATGCAATGTATACTCTGGATTTAAGAAAAATTTGGAAGATCAAGACAGTAGCCTTCAGATGTTCTTTTAAAACTTACCTTGGACCTATCTCTTCGAAGAGTTGCATATGATGAAATGGTAGATGACTGATGCAATCTGGAAGTTGATCCAGACAAGCCTTTATAAGGAAAAAGAAAATGCTTTAAAACCAAGATGTGTCAGATACTTTTTTTTTTCTTATGATAATTTCATTATTTTAGCTCACATTTCTCTTTTTTTTTTTTTTTTTTTTTTTTTCAGTTCAGAAGGACATGAGAGGCATGAAATTTCATTTCAACCACAACTGTTTTGAGTCACTAACAATCAAAACACAAAAGTCTATGATACTTTGATACTTTAAACATATATTAAATGAAGTATAGGGTGAACTCAGCTGTACAACAACATATATGCTTTACAAATAATCACATCTATAAAGAAAAACAAACCTTAACAGTGCTTAGAGTTATAGGGATAAAAAAACAAACTACTTTTCCCCAAATATCCTCTCTAACTTCATCTGTTAAATGGTGAAAAGACTTTAGCACAATGAGATCCTAGTGACAAGTCACATTTAGTGTTTGGAGGCATCGCATTTTTATTCTTTACTGCTTCCATTTCACTGACTTCTACATGTACTTCAATACACATACTTTTAAAAAAAAAAAATCACTTGAGTTTGTGAATACAACACAGAAATAATAAGGAAAAGCAATTGCGAATACAGGAGATATTCCAACTGCTAAATTCATTTTTTCACTATGCTTTTTGTTTCTTTAAGAATTACATACGAAGCTCCTTTGCCAAAGGGTGGTAATCCATAATAGCACCATTAAAATCACAGATTCTCTAGAACTTCCCAGCACTATACAGTTAACCTAAAAATAACAACCTCAAGATAAAGATCATCTCCAGCAAATCCTAAGAGAGAAGCTCCTATGCAAGAAGTTCTGTTAAAAATCAACTACGTTAAATCCTGGCTTACCACGAGTAGGCAATGTCTGGTATCCACTATCAACAGTTACGACACCACTGGAAGGTTGGCTGAGGTCACTGCCTATCATTGCTAATTCTGGTTCACTCACATACGAACGCAGTTCTACCTGTGTGGAAAGATATTTATTGGCTCAAATGACATCACAGACAGCAAGTCTGAAGTCTTAAAACAAATCCCAGCAATTTTGTTTCTGGATTACTGAATCTGTCTCTGCCATTAGTGTAACATACAGATCTCTTCCGTCTTCTCTCTCTTCCCTCTCGTTACAAGATCTAGCAGTACACATATTTCACAGACACTACTGTCTGTTATTGCTTCACACGTTCCTTACAGTGCAGATGGTCTATGAGTGCTCACCCTATAATCTCCGTTTACATACTGTCCTAGTTCTCTGTCTCTCTTTCTTTCATCCGACTGACGTTTCAGGCCTCGCACTGACGTGTGCCTGATGACAGTGGCTTCTCTTGGGAGTGGTGGAACAGCTGGTGGCTGATCTTCAGGACTGTATAACTGAGGAAGAGGTGGTCTGGGCGGTGCTTCATCTTCCTGGTCAGAAAAAGCACAGGTATGTGGCAAACAGTCTGGTCTGGAATAAACTGTCTGAAAGTTCATAACATTATACAAATTATTTGTAATTGCTTTACCATGCTCTTCTCTGTCCACCAGAAGCTTGAGTTCTTGAAAGCAAACAAGACCCAAGAAAGCAAATAACCAGTGAACCAAAAGGCATTAGTAACTAAACAGCAAGGAAGGCTCTGCTATGCTACATTCTAAAACACTATATGGCTACTGTGAGTAAGCCTCCAGGTTACTAACATAGGACTAGAGAAAATGGCCTCAAGTTGCGTCAAGGGAGATTCAAGTTGGATGTTAGGAAATACTTCTTCTCCAAGAGCAGTCAGCCACTGGAATGAGCTGTCCAGGGAGGTGGGAGTCACCATTCCTGGAGGTGTTCAAGGAATGTTTAGATGTTGTACTGAGGGACACTGTTTAGTGGGCAGTATTGAAGACAGGTGAATGGTTGGACTGGATGATCTTGGAGGTCTTTTCCAACCTTGTTGATTTTATGATTCTAAACACTCTCGTGTATTTGTTACTGCTCAGTTTGATTATAACCCTTAAGTCTTCCTTTGCTGTGCCTCTACATTGCATGCACTTAGCAACCATGAAAGCTTTCTGTCAGAAGCAAATGGAAGCAGCGGAGAACAAGGCTTACAACAGCAGTACTTACAACCTTTGGCATTAGCCTAACTGGCGACTGAAGAGGTGGCTCAATTTTTTTCAGCTGTGGTACTTGTTGCTGCGTTCTGGCCTGGAAGTAAGGCTGTGGATACAGTCTCACCTCTAGGGAAGGTTTGACCAGGCTGGATGGAGGGCTTTGTGGAACTGAAGGTTTGCTCTCCACGGTTGTGAGAGAAGCCGGTAAGGAAGGCACTGTAGACTGAGAAAACGAAGGCACTGTTTTTCTTTCTAGGGGAGAAATATGCATATCTGTTAGATTCTGTGTTTCTTCTATCTGTCAACAATGTTCATACAAATAGAAATCAATATTATTAAGCTCTCCAAATTATTTCCAACATAAATTGAGGGTTTTTTGATATAAAAATCTACAACTGCTGGCTTACGGCAGGGATGAGAAACATTTTCTTGATGAGGATCAAATAACCTTTCAGGCTAAAAATAAAAATATACATTAATACCATTCAAACAAATCCCTTGGCAAGAGGAAGAGGAGGAAAAGTTCACATGTCATATGCAATCATTACAATGGCTGGATATGGCTCCCTACCTCATAATCCTTTGGCTACAGAGCTAGACATACATACCTGTGCTTAAGGTATAAGCACCAATAGCCATACCTTAAATAAAACCTCACCAAGAACAATTTGATTTCCGTGTGTAAAATGGTAAGCAAAGACATTCAAAATACAACATAAATTTACAAGAGGCATTAACAGCCTCTTGGTATCCCAGTGTTCTCTTTTATTCGAAACATAATAAAGCAATTGAAATGCAGACCACACATTCTTTTCTTTCTTCTATTTCACAGCTGATGCTGCTGCCCTGCCCACCAAGCACCTGCCTGAAGAGGAAGGGGGAAGGCAACTGGGGCAAGGGCAGTCGGGCAGAATCCAAGAGGAAAAAAAAAAGCAGACGAGCACAGAGAGGAGCTCCCAGACAACATACAGAACAGATACTTTGGTATGAGTTTGGTGTACGTGTGAAGCTATTTCTGTGACCTGCATAACTAATCCCACTGCTAGTGTTCTCTTTTTTGTGGCTTGTTATGCTTCAGTATGTCAAACAGAAAAAACACACGCTTTTTTGCTGGCTCAACCAAAGAAATGCCAAAACAATGTGCTCAAGATACAGAGATTTCCAATGTAGAAATATCAGAATTAACTGTGTTTTCTGGTCTGGAACATACTTCTCAAGTATTCACATAGATTCAAAGATTCAACTGCATTTGTATATATATATATATACACATATATACATAATATATACATATACATAAATATACATACATACATATATATATATTTATTTTACATTTTAATTATGTTCTCTTTACCTGGATTCTTGATGGAGTCCACTATTGTTTTGTAATTTGCTTTATTTGCACTCAAGCCAGCTGTAACATCTTCAATTCTCCACAAGTCTTTTTGTATTTGTGTTTTCTCCTGATAGTTTAAAAAAAAAAGAAAGACAAAAAATTATATCCCTTTTTATTTACAATGGATTTGTATTTCTTTTACCAAAGCCAAACTAATGTTTCAGAACTTACATGAGAACTTACAGGCATAAAAATAGGTTATACAATTATTTTAATGTTTAAAACAAGCAAAAACCACATTAGCCACAGACCAACATATCTTGCACACAGATCCATAGAATTTAGAGCATTTTGAGTCTTGGGAGATTCCCTAGAGAAGACATGGAATGAGACATCTCTATATTGTTCCCTACAATATTATTCAGGCTACAAAATCCTGGTTCTACATAAACTGAGCTTACAGAGACTTTTAAATTGAACTTTTCTTAAATCCTTTAGCACATTTTAGGATGCTAAGGTTGCAGATTTATTAATTGCAGATTTAGATGAAATGTCCAATATCAAAAACAAAAAATATGTGTTCTCCATTAATAAGGCTATAAAATTGTCTAACAGCCTGTAATGAATTAAATATAAAACCAAAACTAACTGAGAAGAAATGACAAATATAATTTCTTTCTATACTTGGATGGTTAAGCCTACTGGATATAATATGTTCTTAAGTCTCAACTTGTGTCCTGTTTGTTCTACTAATCCTTCCCAGCAGGCAAGAATGGGAAGCTTTCTCTACCCCCTGGACTCTGCCTTTGTGTATCTTGTGGCTAGAGGCTGTGGCTACTGAAGCCATCACTTCAGATGTGTTTATTGCAATCATAAACCACAGGTAAAAACAGCTATTCAAGGCGTGTGGTTTTTTTGTTGGTTGTTCTTTTGTTGGTTTTTTTTTTTTCTTTTCCTCCACAGGTTGTAAGTAATGTTTTTAATTTACTGTAGTCTATTACTTTTCCTAAGGAATCAATGCCTAATAACTCTTCCTTAAAAAAAAAAATAAAAAAAAATAACAGCACTAAATAAAAAATAAATAATATTGTTGTCCACGTGGTTTTATAAAGGCAGAATGTTGTGCAACACTAGTTGGAATTGTTTACAAACTCCTTAGCAACACTAGGAATCTATCACTTGCCAGGAGCTGCAAAATAACTAATTAATCTCTTAAACCTGAAAGAGAAAAACTTTAGTAAAAGCTCTTACACCTCACAGAACTAGAGGAAGTGTATCAATTGCTTTCTACGCTCTGTTTTAGCTCAGAAAATATGTCCAGTCAAGTTATAGATCAGCAAACAGGGTGTCAAGAACACAAACATTTAAATGATGGAGAACGTTATTTGCCTGCAGTAATCTCACTCCATGGATGGGATATCGTGAAAGACTGTCAGGATACAAACTATAAATTTGCACATTTCATTACATTTTTCTGAGATTAATCACACTGCAAGGAACCGAATGATGGATTTACGGTGATCACGTCTCAAGAATGGTTAAAAATCCCCACATGCACAAAAAAAATCCTGCTTCTGAAATCACTTGGAGAAACTGCATGGTCAGCAATGTACACAAACCGCGAGATCTTCTAATATTATTTCCTACCATTACTCAAATCTCGATGCAAAGAGAATCTTTTTAACCAAAAAATGGGGTAGATCTAAAATACAAAAAGATTAATTTATTTTTGAATTATGAAAGTCAGGATTGCTGTTTACCAAAGGGTATGAAAGTACTTTATAGGTAAGCGGGAAAAGTTAGTTTGGAAAGATGTGTCAGTTTCTCTAAATTCCTTCACATAGAAACGTAATTTAGAATGATTTATAAACCTAGAGCAGAAACACTTAATGAGAGGTTATCACTAAAAAAATACTTCTATGTTAATTTCAGCATACCTGATTGTGGGACTCTTAAAAGACAACAAAGCTACACTCTTAAAAGTAAGATTTACTTTGAGCAAGTAGTTTGAACCATTTAGTTTTTAATCTGTCAATGCTATGTATAAATAACATCAGCTGCTTTCCATAGCAAAACGTTGCTGCAATTTTATGGCATTTTTAGTAATATTTATTGAAGAACACATAATTTTTTCAGTAGTGTTTATTTACCTAATGCTATTGCAAAAAGCTAGATAAATCATCTTGAGCCTATACACAGCCAGGTAGCAATCTAAAGACTGTAATGATTTTGGGTACTTATAATGATACTTCTTTGAAGGAATATGATTTTGAGAATATTCACTACTTTCTGGGAAAATCAGTTCCCCTTCATATCTCCAAAACAAATATTCAAAAACAAGTATGTATGTTTGTGTGTGTGCTTGTGTGTGCATATACATACAGATATATACACATACATATATCAGTATGCACACATGAAACACATCCTATGCATAGGTATGCTCATGTATAAGTTGGTACGAGATGCTAATTAAACTAAATTAACACTTGTTCTGTGTAAACCATCTGCCCATCTATGTGTACTGCTACATCACTTGCAACACAGGCAGTATTTTAAGCGAGTTCAATACACAACCAAAAACTGTTTGTTAAAGTATTTTGTTCAAATACATTCTGTGTAGAACATCCCCTTTGTTAATCGACTGAACTTCATACAGACCTGACTTTTATTCTAAAATACCTCTGCGATGTTTTGGAGGCATGTATTCTACAGCTGAGCTCAAATAAATGAGATTCTGGCTCTAGAAACTGATTACACACACAGAACAAAAATAAAAACACCAAATTTAAAAGTGGCTGAAAATGGAATCTAAAGATTGAAACATCTAAGAAGGTTTTACACCTCTTGTTTTGATACAAGTTTATCCATTAATAGTGAAAACAGATATACTAACTTGCCTCTGATCTGATACTTTTTGCAAATGTGTAAATTAAAAATGTTGGGTTTTTTGATCCAATATACTTGGAAAAGTATGCTTAGGTTTCAGCCAATTAAACACATTGGCTTTGTTTCTTATGTTTTGTCTTTTAAAATTCAGCAGTTGTGCACAGACATGGAAAAAACAACCTGGAGAGTATTCCTGGTCCTAAGAATAAAATCATCGGTTATAAGCAGGTATGCAGAATTAATCTCATATGCCACATCCAATTCAGCAAAGAGAATAGCTCTGCTTCAAACAAAGCTTCTTTGCAAGATTCAAAAATGAATAATTGATTTAAAACTGAGATGCTGTTAAACACTCATTCCACTTCACAAAACGATCTGCAGAGATAAATCTTCCATAAAGAGAAGGCATGACAAAGAGGAAGTAATGACAATAACAAGCCAAAACTGATGTTCTTAAAAATGGATAAAGAATCCAACAATGTCAGATCAAATAAATGTATGACTAAGAAGTCCTGCATAGTCTTATAAATTAAATGTTATCAATGTCAAGATGTCAGCATGTAATGAAAACATAATAAAATGACAAACTTGCATAGGAAACTTTTGAGAAACTATTAGACATCCAGAAGATAGCTAGTTAGTGCACAGCAATGCTGTTAAGATTTCAGAACTCTGCAAACTAAGATGTGACAGCTGAATACAATGCAAAAGTTACAGAGCATCTCTCTTGTGATAGCTTTCAAGTTCAGAGATAATTTTCTCACAAGTAAACCAGTGTCTGGAAACAGACTCACCTGAGATACCAATGAACTATTCATTTGTTCCTGTAAGGCTTTTTTCAGCTGGCTCACGTCCTTTTCTAGTTTCAGATATTCTTTCCAGGCATTTTCCATTTCCTAATAACAAAGATAATACTCTAGCACAATTACAATGAAACAGGATATCACTATCAATTCTCTAATTGAGCAATTGAGTGCTGTTAAGATGGATTTTTGCCTTTATAAAGAGAAGCAAAAAAATCTGTTCTGTAGCCTGTATTTTATACAAATATACATATACACACATATATGAACTTGAAGATACGCTTCAAAATGCTTTATTGATTGCAAGACTAGTTAATCCCTAGTTAAGAAATTCTTGCTAGCTTACAGACACAAAACCATTTCTTAAGCGTAAAACTGCTGTTTACAGTTTAATTCTACTCATTCTACTATACTATGAAGGAATCAAATTCTACTCCCTTTCTACCTTCTCACTCTACTACAAACAAATTCACAAATTCAAACAGGCACCTGAATCAGAGATGATATTTTAAGACACAAAGTTTAAAGTTCTGATTACAGTGTTTCAATGTCATTGTAAGCAAATAAACAAGCAGACACCTGGAAAATAAAGCTATCCAATCACTTTTATGTTACAGTATTTCCAGCACCCACGACACCACAGGATGCTTTCTGACCCAGAACTGTGAAAATTCAAGTCAGTGTAAAGAGTGATGGAGAAGGTTTCCTCTCCTCTGAAGTTTGGAAAACAGATAACTGAGGAGTTGAGCAGAAGAAATACTGGAGGCCTACAAAACCATGAGATGCAGTGACACATTGGATAATGACTGGTAGTTCCCCACCCTTGCACACAAACAAGGGTCTATCACATGAAACAAGTGCGAGTCAGGCTCAAAACAAACAACAGAGTGCCTGTCCACACACTGGGGAACAGATCTATGCAATCCTTTGTCAAATCATGTTTTAGATGCAAACGGTTCGCAGAATTGAACAGGGAAGTGGACTTGGAAGTTAGATATGCAGAGGATTATTAAACAGACATAAAATAATGGTCTCAGGAATTATTATTTTTTTTTTAATCAGAAAATAGAAGCTGGATTGATTATCACAGAAAATACTGCTCATCTCCTAACCTTGTTCTTCCCAAAACACATCCTTACGCCCACTGCTGAAGCCCTAACACTGCAGCTATTCTCACAGTGACTTGCTACTTGGCAGATTAAACGTGAAGAACTTTCACAGACCACCTGTATTTTCTCCAGGCAGAAAACATTGTACACATACATTTAATTACTGCTGGCATCTCAATGTTCAGATCTTACTACAGAAAAGGTGCTCAAGCAATTTTATGAAGAGCAGACCCTGCTTCTATTGAGAGATAAGATTATGTGTGAGCACACAGCACCCAGGTTTATATTATTCTTTCATCGCCAATTCTTACAAATATTTTTATTTAAGAAAAATGCAAGATTAAATTGCATTTGAATATTAAGTTGTAATAGTAACGGTAAATTTTGACTGAAATACAAAGAAACCCATGCCTTCTCCCTTGGAAAAATACCATAGATTCACATTTATGCACTGCGAAAAGGATTAGCTGAAAGATTTGTAATTTAAGGTCTATATATAGGAGGCAAAACTATTAAATGAAATTCTGAGCTTCTGAAGGGAGCGCATCGAAGAGGATAGCTGTAGTGGTAGCTCATATACAACTTTCTTCTGACTTAGTATCCTCCACTTTAACAAAATCAGTTCACAATAGGATTTTTTAAAAATACATAGTTTTCCTCTGACTGGCATCTTAGCTACTGTTTTCTGAAAACAACCTGAAATACATACCGTTGAAACCTTGGATATTTCAGCCCGAATATGTATAAGATCTTCTTGCAAAAGTCTTTGCTGGTAGGAAATTTTTTCTGCATGCTGTGGTTGGTCTTTGTATTGTTCCATCTGCCTGTGTAACACCTCCAAAACAGACTCCAGCTGATCCTAAGAAGAAGCAGAGAACAGAAAAGCAGACAACAGTAAGCTTACAGCACTGATGGCAAACTTAATAAACAAATTTACCTTTGTGAATATAAAAGCTGTACTCTTCACTTCCAATGTTCCCTCTAAGCCACTAGGTTAGGACTGCCCTGCTACTGTGGAGACTAAGATGTAAATGAATGAAACACTGCAGGAGCCTTAATCACTTAAAATTTTCTAATATTTTCTATAGCATCTGTTTAAGTTGTCAAACCTGTGGAAATCACAGATCAGTGAGAATTTTTCTGTTTGCAGTCTGTGCAAAACTATAATTTACAATTTTAGAAGAATCTCCTTAAGCAGCACAGAACTATGATAGCCCTAGCACACCACAGTATTAACAGTTTATTTATAGACAACTTCTCACTCATTGCTATAGCTAAAGCAGCCACGTGAGGGATTAAAACACTACCAAAATACAAAGTAGGCCTGATGCATTCAGTCAGAAGTAACAGTGGGGCATTTCTGCACAACAGCTCTCTGAAGGATCTACTCAGATGGCACTTCCATTTCAGAATGCATTTTTTCTGAACCACCTGGCCTTAGACTCTTTGACAGCCATAGCTCATTGTGAGGGAAGCACATAAACACATGCGAGGGAAGACACTTCTGGAGAAGACACTTCTGGTATTGTTTGCTGTTCAAACTATGAATCAATAGGGCATGGGAGGAAGTAAGAGGGTTCCAAGTACAAACTTGTCCAGAAGTATTCCAGAATTTCAGTCACAAACCTCAGAACAATGCTCAAAACTATCTATAAACCAGCATGGTTCCCAAATGACTACAAATGGGAATCTCACTGCCACACACAGCATGCTGCTGTTTATGCAAACAGTGCTTGCACGTGTGGGAAGAACTGCGAATGAAACATGACTGCCTCCCACTACATGAATCATAAGACATTACAAACAAAACCACACAGAAGTGTGCATACACCCTCATTTGTGAACAATACCAGATTAATTGTATATGGTTCTAAAACACTTCTCTTCAAAAACGTTTTCTAAAAGTAGGTACTCAATCTTACCATAAAAAAAAACTTCCACATAAATTTGATGTACATTTTCAAAGAAAACTACTACAAAGCAAGCGGCATCCAGTAATTTGGTATTATTTTTAATTCCATATTTTATAAATATTTTTAAGTTTATTGAAATCTCTTTACTCTTACTTTATTTTCCTTAAGAGCTCTTATTTTGTCCTCCAAATCCTGCAGAATTCTGTCCTGCTCACAGAAAACACTCAGCTTGACCTGAAAATAAAACCATATTGCCATATGTAACGTGAGATTTTTAAGAAGAAAAGTCTCCACTAACAATATTTTATCCCAAAGAGAATAATAAATGCAAACAATTAGCAGTACCAACAAATGGCCAAAACAACACCAGAGTTTCTGAAGCAGTGGCTGATACTTACATCAATATCACTTTCTGCAACCTTGACGGGTTTCGTACTTCGCTCTTTGAGCGTGTCACGTCCCGACACCTGTGAGGAACAGGTTTGAAAGATCTGAGAAATCTGCTGCAAACTAAAACTATGTTTCAGCCATGAGAACAGAAGCTTTGTTAAATGTGCAAGTCCAACAACGAAGATGAATAAGAAATAAAATCTTGGATATAAGTCTCTTAAAAGTGCACTTCTCAAAAACGTAACCAGAAAAGATTATCAATGATACCATGCTATTTAATAACTCTTAGAGTAGCTTAAAAATGTACAAATTAGCATAATCCCATTTGTCGGTGGTTACAAATGTCCTGTTCCTGCAAAACCTAACAACTTTATCTCTTTGCTTTTAATAACTTTCTTGAGCCCATAGGGACTTAAATAGTTATTTTAGAATGTGCAACTGCAAGAGTAACAGCATTAATTGATGACTGAAATACACCTTCCTGGCATCTATTTCATTCTACAAAGGATGGGCTCTTCCACAGCACAGGGTGAATTTTATTAAAGACAGACTGCTGTAAAACTGCAGGGTGAAATTCAAACGTCATTGACCTATTTTGATATGCTTATAATATTTCTAATTTCTCGTTCCATAAATCACTGTTTCCATATTCCATTTCTCATGAGATTACCTCCTCACGTAACTTAGTTTTTAAATTAATACAGACTGTACTGTATCACACTCCTTCCTTCCAGCAGCCTAAGATGAAGGCATGTCTACCCCTGTAGAAAAGTTTATTACTTCCAGTGCTTACGTTTGACACTTTTGATGAATAAACAAAGCCAAGAGAATGGTCACATAGTACGGCTCATGAACTGTACAATTTTAAAAGCCTTACTCAGTTAGAATACTAATCACTTATTCAATTAGAATACTTTTAAAGGTCAATTAAATCAAATCCTACCTTACCAAAGGAACACATGGTACTGAGAAGTACAGTGCTCAAACACACACAAGAATATAAGAAAAGATCACCTAATTATTGTATTGAATAACATAAGTGGTAAATTTATTTTTTGTTGTTTGAAATGGTAGGGATATTAGTTTTTGTTGTCAGTCTTTTGGTTGGTGTGGTTTCCTTTGTTTTACTTTTTTTAGTGAGAGAAAAACAGTTTAATATTTGCTGACTGGCAGTCTGTAGACCTAAGCAACACAACTTCCTAATTAACTTAATGGGATCACACTTGATTTCGGAAAGTAATTATTTTTTACTGCAAGTGGAAATCAATCTTTGATACAACTTCCTTTCTCATTTCACAAGCTGAGTATTTTCAGATAAACTACATTTAAGACAGGGTTACAATAACTATTGATGTTTAATATCTCCTCCCCTTTGACTGCAGGCTCCATTAACATACTTATGGTGGGATTTCACATGGAGAAAGTTACACATTTATTACTTCCCCACTCCAAAATCAAAAAGCACTTCACTGTCTCTCAAAAGTTATGTTCTGATTTTCAAATATTTTCAACAGTAAATACGTTTAAGAAAAATCCTGTCTTCAAAGGTACTAAATGGAATTGTTTAAGTGCTAGGTCCTATGTATAATAGTAAGAAATAATTACATAGAGGAAGAAATGTCAACATGTCCAAGTAATAACAAATAATAATTTTATCACCTGCAAACTAACAGAATGCAAAAGCCTTTTTCAAAGCAATGAAGATAACATAAAAAACACAGTCTACCAATTCTGAAGACTTAAAATTACATAATCACAGCTATACAGATTTTGTTGATTTTCAAGCAGTATGAGAACATAATGAAGATTCAGCATGCTTTCACACTTTCCAAATTACATATCAGACTCGCTGCTTGACACAATCATTTTCATGACAAAATGAAACCAAACACTGAGGTCAGCCATAACTTCACACACAGACTCCAAAAGGCAGTGGGGGAAACAAAGAAGAAAAGGAAAAAAAAAAATCTTACAGAAAGTTCTATTGTTTGCTATAAGACACCTGCAAAAGCCAGAATACGTACACATTGACTGCTATTTTAAAAAGCAATGGGATGAACGCATTTTGGATGCAAGCAATCTTACATGTATACTGGAAAGTAACCCCTGTGCTGAGTTCTTCAGCACTTTGTAAATCATGTTGATCAGAGGTCCATTATTTTCTATCTGTTTTAAACACAAGTTTGAACAATAGCTTGTTATAGATGTAAAGACTGAAGAAACAAAACCTTAGCACATAAAACTCCATAAGCAGCAGCAATTTCATGTTCTTCTTTCACACAGACCCTCAAGGTTTAGAATCTATATATTTTCCCATTATGGAAACTATAATTAGATACCTATCAGTGTTATTTTCAGTAGATCATTCATCCAACCATAAGACTTTTGTTTTTCACTTTCACAAAGCACACATACCAGCACACTGCACAATCACAGTTTAAGTGCCAGGGATGATGGCAAGACATTTTCTGTGACATAGAACATAACTCTTGCACCAAGAGCTCTATGTTGATAACTGGAGCAACGCAGACAAACCCTTTATGAACAAAGCCATCAGAATCGCACTCGTAATTACCATTACTCCCATAACAAATACCTGCTAGGCAGCATTTCCTTAGGCACCTGTGTGGCACAACCTTGTACTAGCAACCTCTTCCAACAGCAGTACAAACAAAACGGCTTCATGTGTGGCTGCAGAAGAACAAAGCAGCACCAGTGCTGAGCAACTGGAGAGGGACCCAGATTGCCTTAGAATGGTTGCACAACGTATACTTAGAAGCACAAACTTTGCACTTCAGCAGGCCATACTCATTCATGTTTTGTGTAAGTCTCCCAGATAAGTGCAACTGCAGTCCAGAACTCCTTTAGCCTGATTGAAACTTATTTCATCGTCTTGGAAAGGGAAAAATCTTTCCCTGATTGCGTTCCTCTGTTGTTTGCAACATCATCTCAGAGACTTGTAGGGAAAGAGTCACTCACTATTTCTGCTCTTCTTATACAGGGTCACACTTTTCCACCTTCATTTAAGGGATTTTAAAAAAGCTATAACACATTCATGGAAATCCATGTGCACAAAAAGCATGGTTGTGTTATAGCATAGAGATACAACATCTCTGTCGTGTCTTATATACCTATATTTTGTAAGTGAAAAAGGATAGAAGGCCCTGGCATTTATTTTTTTTTAATGTCAGAACTAGTTTGCATGCAGGAGAAAAATCCTGAAGTTGATTAATATTTGTAAAGCATATCTATTTCACTTATACCACTCTTACGACAAAGCGCTGTAATGTTGAACAATACCATCGTAGTATTAACATCAAAATATTTCTAAGATAATATTTTTCAGCTTTTAAATAATAATCAAAAATAGATCAGTAAAGTAGGATAAGACTGAGGTTTCTCTGGGGACAAAACATCTGACTTATGACAAATTACTAAATGACTTGTAACGAGTTACTGCAACCTATAATACATAATACTATGGCAGGAATTAAGTAGTTAATTAAATGTTTAATCGCTATTCCATGTTGACAAGTTGTATTTCAAAATATCTAGGAAGAAACATCTTCAGAGATAATGAAGTAAAAACATTTGACTTCAGCTCTAAATTTTTTAATCCTATTTGTTTCATTGGAGTAGATTCAACTCAGGCCAATGAAGTCAAAACTGATGTTTGAAATAAAGGGCATTATATCTAAGCCTCCAGTGTCTTCAATGAAAGGCACCCTGTATACTAATCATGAATTCACAATATTCCACCATTATCAAATCAATTTGTAATTTGCTTTGTTTCATTGATACTAGCTTTCCTCATACTGTGAATTCAATAATTTATACTCAGTGGCAAAGCACAAATTCAATAAGAACACAGACACCTACTCAAATTTCACAAGATCATTTTAATCTCTCAGCACCCCTATCTGAATTTTACATTTTCAGATCACCATCGAAAGAAGGTTATTCTTTTGAGCATGAAAGTATCTGAGAAAGAAACAGCCACCTTCAAATATTATATGATTCTTACGGAACCTCACTTGACACTTTGACTGTCAAGATTTGTCAAATGGAAACTCGAAGTAATACTACATTTCTTCTTGCATAAAGATCAGGTTGCCACCATAAATTTTTTCTTTCTGGCTGCTTTTCTGGGCACAAGGAGAGCTCTCGGGGCCAAGCAACTCTTCATACCTTGGCTGCAACAGATCAATCTGCAGGAAATCCACTAAAAAGTTAAGAACCCATCCTATTAATTCCTCTAAGCACCTAACATTTTCAGGCACTTACAACATGGTCCTTGTAACAGTGAAAGTCATCGCTTTAGGATGGGCAGAACACTGTACTTATTCATGACCTGTAAAATTGTGGGACCTCCTAAACTGAAATGTCACAAAACTCAGCCAAAGGCTTGGGATGCAGTTACATTTGGCACAGCAAAGAACACATCAAAGAACAAGGCCTGAAGTGAAACACGTCCAACTGATTTTACATTTGTATGTTCATGACTATAACAGTTTATATACGTGATCATTTCGTCTACATACACCGCAAATATGATGCAATATATATATCTGTATTGCTAATATTTTCCATTGATATATTTGGTTGTATATTCAACCATGCAAGAGCAGATGAAATTGAAGTTGCCATACTAGTGGTCCCAGCAGCTCATTAGTGGCACACAGGCAAAGCCTCTTGGCACCAGTGATAACTACAGACAAATAAACAAGGATAACAGGGTGTCAAACTTCACCTTTATTTTCAGGAAAACCATGTGATTTGTATATGGTAAGACATGCTACACAGCATGGAATGGGATAGATTGCTTTATTAAGCAAAATCACTGATTATGCAGTTTGATTTTTTTCCTTCAAATACCTGCTATCAAGAACTGCTTTCAAATTGCCAACTATCAGGTGTAACAGATACAGAAGTAATTTCATTTAGACAGACAGTCTGATGCTGAACACCATATTATATTTTTATTTTATCTTTAGGAAATATCACCTATTATTACATGGGCAAATTATATGTATGCATGAATAAATATATAGACCTGACATACAGATCTCTTAGCCATCAGAACATGAAAACAACGAAAGCTTCCAATTAATCACCACATTTTCACAAAAAAAATGCATTAGAAATGTAGCCTATTATAAAAACAAAGAAGTCAGCTTGTGCAGATTTAAAGAGATAAAAAGCTGAATTGAAATAACTTCTCTCTTAACTTAGAGCAGCTGACTTCATATTGGCTCTAAAGCAACAGCAAAAACATGTTGAAGCAGTTTGTAATCTTATTTCTTTTAAATCCACAAAACACCACCCATCTGAAGTACCTTGATGCAAATACTAACTAGAAACCGAACTATCAACATTTGTTTCCATGTCTGTTCTACAGCTACTACTGTAAGCACACATCATTTTAAGCACAATGAGAGCAAAAGACACAGAGTATCAGTCTCTGAAAGAAAAATGATTCCAAAACCTGTAGGTGTAAAGATAGCACACAAAGACAGCTAGGTTATAAAATAATGAAAGTAAACTTTTATAGAAGCTTACCTTCAGATCTAAATACTCCAAATCCTTTTTCAACTGGATATAAGTGTCATCAGCCTTCAGGTAAGTACATAGAAAAAAAAACAAACAATACATTTGAAGGTTTGAAAAAATAACTTCAAAATAGATTGGAAATATATAGAGAAAATGATGAAAAAGTAAACAAAATAACAGAGTAGGAAGAACATCAAAAGCACATTTGCTCCACCAGCATATTGCTATTTACAGCTGAAAAAATGGGCAAAATATTTCCTGAGATCATTACTACCTCATGTCCACTCTTTCAACAGATGGATTTGATTTTTACACTGCTAATATGATACACAACTACACAAACAATACATTTTCATTTATTTTTTTCAAGCCCAATTTCTGCTGGCTATCCCTTCCTCAAAAAGATGATGGAGTTGTCCTCCAGCACAATATATCTCTAGGAGAAGTTTTCTACCTAACTGAATGGCGCATATAAGTAGAAGCCAGTATATAAAAATAATTGGAACACTTTTTGATCTGGTTTCACATACGTCTTAAGATAAGCACTCCATTTAAGAAAGGCAAGAAATAAGCTTCATGAATAGAACACTAAAGATCTCACTCGTGATTGGAAAATCCATTTCACTTTTTAAGTGAATTAATTCAACTTGATCCCTCTTTTTCAGTGGCTCACCCCACCAGTTGTCAGTTTAGTCGAACAGGTACATTCAACTAGTAATGTCTTCCTTAGAATCACTTCAAGAAAAGCATACACAGATGTCATTTGAAAGTTACTTCTTTTTCCTAAGAGGTGTTTGTGACACATAATGAAGTAAAACTTAACTGCTACAAGTGGACTTGGTAAGAAGCCAAAATTCCTACAGTTCTTGCTGAAATTCTGACAATTTCCTACTCTGAGTTCACTAAAAATCAGACTAAAAGAAAAGTACAACTATACCTTTCTCCAGCTTGTGCCAACAAGACTGTGCATTTAAAAAAGGAAAGAAAACCCTTGCTACAGTGAAATCGACACAGTCCACTTACATTTCTTTAGATGCCGTCACCTAAATTATTGTACCTCCAAAAATACCTTTTGAATTTGCCAGAGGCTTTGACTAGAAAGTATGCCCATTTTTAAGGAGAAGTCCTTATTATTATAGACCACCTTAGTGCAATTGTTCTGTAGGTGAGGTAAGGAAAGTAAACTTTTCCAGATTAAAAAAAAAAAACACCTTGAATTCTAGGCCAATATAAAGTCTCCACCAATTCCAAAAAGAGTCACCATGTTTTATTCCTATTTTTGAGGTTCTAATATAAACTAGTGTGCTCTTCAAAAACATTTGTTTCATCCCACATTCAAGTTTCGTACATCAATGCAATCAAGAGCACCGTTCATGGTTCAAGGTGCCCACGAATCTTTATGAGATAACGTTCACCTGCAGAACTGATAGTTACAAGATCATATGAAGATACAAACTGGCTGATGCATTTTAACTTGCAGGTGTGGCAGCACATGGTACAGGGAGCCAATCTCACCATGAAAGCAGCACGAAGAAATGGTTTTGCTGTAGAATGAGCATATCTAATCTTGTAACACACATTTCTGAAAATGCAGTATTTTCAGAAATAGTACAAAGAGGAAGTATACATAACACTTTGAAACATACGCACTGGTACTCTGTAGATTCAAATGCTTATTTCCGACAGCAAGAATAGCAAAGAAAAACTGCAAATGATCTGGGCATTGCAGAATACCAGAGAATGGGCAAGAAAGCACAGACCCAAGCATGCCACTGACGAAGCGTTTGCAGAGTCACAAGATGTCATACGGTACAGATGAACCAAGCAGCAGCTGACCTGATAGGTGGAATTAGTTGGCAAGTGCTGCAGTAATTGTGCGATTGTGTAATTTCGTATACTAGCCAACTTAGCCTGATGTCTCCTTAATCGAATGAGAAGCAATGTTAGCTCTTCGGGCTGCAGGTATTTAGACACATTGTAAAGAGGAAATTAGCAGTCTTCAGGAAGAGTAACTGTTAATTATGTTTTTCACCTCAGTGCCCAGAAAGCAGTTACTTGACACGGTTAAGCAATTATTTCATTAACTCTGCATTTGGTCAAATAAACATAATAGAAGTTGAATCCTGTAATAATAGCTCACTCCTGTTCACACACAAATAAGAGCAAAATCCCTACGGGCGTTATTATTCCTACACACTGCTTAAGTTCAAGTTTCACATTCAAGTTATTTATGTTTTAATTAATGAAAAGAGAAAACCCAACTAGGAATGAGCAGGATTTTAAAACTTAACTACAACACAATGATGACACGAAAGGCAAAGAAATTGCTCCTTCAACTTACCGACTTGCCATGCAAACTTGGTGCGCTCACAGTATGGGTCATGTAGCCCATAGCTGGCATCGAGCGTCGATCAATGTGAGTTGAGCTCTGTAAGAAGCCCCAGGCAGAATTATAAGCATTGTCTCAAGTGAGATGTATGCTGTACTAGAGGGAGCGTTCTGAAGATATGCACCTCTGCTATAAATTTTCTGTTCGAATCCAAGCCATGCTTAGATCAGGGGCCAGCCGAATCCTCCAATAATTATGCAGAACTTATAAATGAACAAATACAACAAACGTAGAACCTGTGATGCTGGACAGGGCAGTGGATTCTGGCAGCACAAGCAGCTTCAGAAGCATGTGCAAAGCTGTTTTCACCAAGTCAAAAAAGAACACTCAAAATTTTCCACACCCCCCCACATATTGTCTCCCAGAGAAAATCTGCTTGGCTTAACACCTTTAAACAGCAGGCTTGTGCACCATATAGTAACAACTGTGAATGTCCTCCTTTAGCTATGGAGCAGTTCTCCACTGTTAAGCCACTGACAGGAGTGACACCTTGTGGCAAGGGGTCCCATCAATACCAGGTTGTATTAAGTGATTTCTTCTGTCTCTTTCTGCTTATACTATAAGTACCCATTTCACATCCATTCTTCCATCCTTCCCTTCATGCCAAGCTCTTATGGCTTTCTTAAAGGCAGACCAAATGTCTGAAGATTTGTTTTTATTCCTGTGTGAATCTCACTGAATGCTGTTTTGTTCTGGGCTGTTTTGTTGGTTTTTTTTTGTTTGTTTGTTTTTGTGGGTAGAATTAAATGAAGCGTTCCATTAAGGGGGAGTATCACAAGCTTCTGTAGACATACACATTTAAATGTAAAATGATGCTGCGTGCTTACATACAAGAACACAAACATTTTTCCTCAAGAAACCTCTGCAGAGAAATTTGGCAGTGAAATTTTGTTTTCATATACGGCTTCATATAAAAACCAATGTGACATGAAAAGATTTTTATTTTCTAAGTAAAATTTATGCAGCTACACCACACAGGAAGGAAGGAGACTACTAAACATACCCTCATAGGGGATGTAATGCTGCTTCAATTTCAACGTAGAGAAACTAATGTTTGATATAACAAGAGTTTATAATTTTCAGTGCTGCATATCACCAAACTGCTTCATTCCCCAACTCAGAATTATAAATGCTGAAAGACATCTGACAGCTACACAGCATATACTAGGAAAAATCTGCTGTGCATGATGAAGTTGGCACACAACTGAAATTCACGGTCCTGAACTCACGCTGAGTTTGTGAATGTACAAGACTCTTTCTTGGCAAATACTTTCCCCAGCAGAGCTCAAGTTTGAGGTTAAAGAATTGGCTGAATGCAGAGGCTTTTATTTCCACTTATTCCAGTGTAAGTCCTACCAAGACAAGCAAGTTCTACATTGATTCAATCCTTAATTTCCCTAGTTTTCTCAGACAAGTAGAGCCACACAAAGTACTAAGCGAAAAAACCTCTGTCACCTCTGGAGAAGAGGTTAAAAAAATGCCTACAGTCAATCACACTTAAATTCTGCAGAAGGTTAAAGTTTAAGACCAACACTACCTGACTGTAGTTAGTCCAGAGCTATCAACTCTGCAAAGCATGTAAACTGTCAAATGCATGAAAAAAAATAAAAAAGCGATGCTTTCAGCTGGATTAGCTATATGACCAACTATACAAGCAAAAGGTTAAGAGAAAGTAGAATGGCAAACACTTAAAACCACAACTGTAAGTATAAATCAAAGATGTGCTCATCCTGCTGTCTTTTATATTATTCTCCACACTATTCATTGAAACACTACAATTTGTGTATATTTTATATATACACACACACACCTCCCACGTTTTGAATGACAATATTCCAAGTCAGTATGATGAGTCACTAATTTGCCTTTCCAAAAACACACACACAAATGAATCTGAGATAATCATAAAGATATGAGTTTTAGGAGAAAATTACCCACTGTGTTAACTCTCACAGCTTGCAAGATCTTTCAGGCAGGATGCAACAAAAATTACTAAATTAAACAATCAACATATCACAGTACATGTAAAATAGCTTGAAATTACTGTTATGCTGCATACAAACCTTTAGAGCATTACTTTGAATCTTCCTAGGCGATCCAGCGAAAGGACTGTCTACAGTCTGTCTCTCGTCAGATGGTTTAACTGTAAGCCTTTCTGCAGGAGTGTGCGGTCTCCTCGGGAGAAAGCTTTTTGGAGGTCCAGGTGGAGGAATATCAGATGGAGAGGGTGGAACAGATACTGATCGTGGAACATCCAACGAACTTTTTGACTTACCCCGATCCATAAAATCCGAAGAGCCTACATAAAGCGGGGCAGTGGGGCTGCCATGCTTAAACTGCTGTCTCTGCTGCCACTCATAAAGCTGCCAAACAGTTCCATCCTTATTTGCTTTCCTTTCCTCCTGGGACATCTTCAAGTGGCTAACACGATCTTGTGCGTACTTGTAGTCACTCGGCAAATTGCGACTCAGTGGTGGCGGTGAGCTCCCTGAAGGCTGCCTGGTATTCTTTGGCAAAGTGTGATAGTTTTCAGAAAAAGGTGGTGGATTGGGACCCTGGCATGTGAGAGTCAGATCAGAAGCAAGGCTGGGAAGGGGGGAAAGAAAAGAGTAAAACTTGAGCGTACAAGGAGTGGCTGATAAATAAAAATTATAGTAGAAGAAAAACAAAATAAACTCTGGGATGACATTAGCTACAGGACTCCAAATACAGAACTCCTTCAAAAAAAGTTCACAGAAACTATTAATAAGTTAATGAAATCTACACTGCAAAAAAACATTACACTGAATTCATGTACGGATGCAAACAGTTTAAACAGAGGCTTTTAATTGTGTCTAGCCTGAATGACCTAGTAGAGATAATCATAAGGGACAGCTGCATTACCTTTACTTAGACCAAAATGAGTGTCAAAACACGAAGAGAGAAATTACTGTTAGTTTTAAAGAGAAAATCTTCAAATTAAAAATAAGGATTTTTTCCGAAAGCCTCCTCACCACCAGATGGTGCAGTCTGCAAACAGCAAATACAAGCTTGTTGCAAACAATTACCTTCAAGTGTGAGAAGAAATCTCACTCACCACGGAATGAGTGTCTTACACATTTTTTGCTTCATTAACATGAACAAAAATTAAGAATGAGCTCCAAGTTCCCAGGTCGGTACGATTTACTTTCATCTGATCAAATGCTATGAGTTCTACTACCATTTTAAGCAGCACAAGGATGAGCACCAAAACTTACTGACAAACTAGAATTTAAAACAGAATTATAAACAGAGTCACTACATGTGGATATTAGTACTGCTTCCAAAACTCTAGAAATCACTCTGTATCCACCAAGAGATTTGAGACAGAATTTGGGGAAAGTTTTGATAAAGTGTACTTAGAAGTAGGAGAAGGATCTAAGTCAAAATGTCTCCATAGCCTCATGCACAGGAACCTGCTTGTCTCATTTCTCATTCTACCACTAAACATTCATGAGTTTCCTCCTTGCAGTCACTCATCTCTTGCTTTAGCATTCCCAAACAGGAAACCATTCTGCTACATTTGCCAGAGTAACAATACAAACAAAAATAAATGAAATCAGTCAAACAGACACACACACACACAAAATCATCTCACAAACAGAAACAGCAAACAAAAAAACCTAAACTCAGAGCAGATTCCTCGCTTCACTCAGTAGGCTTCACTCTCTGCATGAGAATGAGATCTGGTACAGAGGGAACTGCAGGAATTCCATGCCAACAAAAGGGCAGGTTGAAAAGGAGCATCTTTGTCCAGCATCCAGGAATAAGAGAAGCATAGCTGAAGCAGGAAGAAAAAGAATTGATATCCGTAACTGTTGCTCAATAGTTGCCTCTATGTGTTTCTACTTGAAGGATTTGGCATTGCTGGACTGTGTTGAAACACTGCTCTTGAGAATGTCCATACAGTTACTTACGAGAAAGCAGAATAACTGCTGTACTTTGCACAGAGGATTACAAATTCTTAAAAGCTCTGCTCTCTCACATGTTACCTAGAATTCCAAAATACAGGTAAAACAAGCAGGCAGGATGGAACAGAGGCAACTAAAAAATCAGCATTTAGTGGTCAAGTAACCTCCTCTGCATTACTTCCTATATTTCGAGCTGCTAATTCTTTCCACATGAAGATCAAAGCAGCTATTAAAAATGTATTTTCTCCAGATAGAAATGAGAACTGAGAAAACTAGGAGCAGCAAAAGCTTCAAAAGTACATTTGAGACAGGCATGAAGATGACTTTCCTGTGGAAAAAAAGGGGAGAGGCTCTTCCAAAAGCCAGTTGTTCCTATACTCCATCCTAGTGAAGTCCTCACAAAGACACCACCAAGTTCTGTACGCTGCAAACCATCCATGTGCAGTTATGCTCTAATCAGTCATAAAAGGGTGAGGTGTTCAGATGAGCAGCAATTACTGTTAGTCAATGAAGTCAACGGGGCTAGCAGCTGTAGGAGCAGAAGCAGCCTGAAAACAACATCCCGAGTTGTTTCTTTTGTTTGTTTTTTTTGGGGGGAGGGGATCCTTTATTTCTAGGAAGAAAAAAAAATAAAGTCTGAGAGGAATTAAAAACAGTTTGGATTAGAGCCATGTTTCAAGCAGTAGGAAGCACTGACTTTATGTAATTCTTCAGCCTATAAAAGCACTGTACGCTATAAAAAAGAAGAAAGTTGCACACTGCGTGGAGAAAGTCATGCTCCTTTGATGCAACTGCGTAGATACAGGCAGGCTGTAATTTCTCATTGCATGAAGTAGGGACAAACCACCAGCTAAGACAACAAATAGGCTTTAGTCAGGTGGCACATCTGCTACACAACATTTCAGACCCTTAAAAACAGTGTGTTATATAAAAACAAGCACCAAGATGACATACAAATTTCTAGAAAAGGGAAGGAACAATGTCCTCAAATAACTCAAATTACTCTCTTATGAACAGTGAACAATGGCTTCTCTCAGAGACCAACAGTAAAACGAACAGAAGATAATCTTGAGACTCTCATTCTCTTGAATGATAAGGTATAAATAATCTAAAAAGGAAAGCAGACAGTGAAGAGTGAAAAAAGGGCCTGATGCCATATTACAAGACTATTTAGCATGGAAGTTGTTCAACATCAGCGGTGGGAAGCAATTACACGGACAGTACTGTAAAAAACAAAGATAAATGTCCAAAAGAAAACAAATACCATTATTGGAAACACCATGTGCATTCATGAGAATACACAGAAACTGACAAAGACATGTGATGTTTCTTCCTTAACTCAGAAAGGAACACAAAGTTCTGCACAAGAAAGTATGTTTAATACTCCATTACTGTATTTGCAAAAAATAAAAACATAAAAAAAAAATTCCTCAACATGACTTCATTTTGTTCAGAAATCTTACATTTATTTTTATCAGATTTTTTTTTTTTGTTAATGCAAGTAAATAGTGAATTCACTATATCTACCCACACACTGAAATCCAGTCAGAGACTAGTAATTTCTAGATAGCTGTTGGCTCTGACTTTCAATTATTTAAAATGCCTTTCAAGCATCTTTCCAAACTCTGTATTTCTCCTGGAGGCTGAGATGAACCTTACTGAAGTAGCCTATTGAAGAGAACAGAGAGGGTTTGGGTGACAGCATTGGACCACAGTGCATCTAACAGCCATCAAGGAGAGATGCATCTCTGAAGTGACTGACAGTTAACATCTGTTAGCTCAGCAAACAGTTCTGAGTGCTTTATAAAAAGAGGAAGTAAAATACCTATTTGAGAGATCTAAATATCTATACAGAGTGCAATCCTGCAAAGAATTATTGAAACAGCTGATGTATTTGTATGAGACACATAACTAAGAGAGCTCTTTCTTGTCATAGTCAGCTTGCTGGCAGACACTGCATCTTTATACACCTCAGCCAGGAGAAGAACTGTACTCAGTTTGTATTCAAAAATTCTGAAGGCTAAGTCCTAAGAGGTTCTTTATTTGTAACATTTCAGTAACCATGAAGCAATAAGAAATTAAGTGCTCCACTCACGCTAAAAGCAAAATGGAAATTCACTGAAATGATCACCTCTATTTTAAATTTCTATATCCTGAAATCAAGAGTACATCAGACAACTGCCATACCACTTATAAACATTACTTCAGTGCACTGCAACAACCTCAACAGACACCACGTATAAGATTGAGCCATTAATCTCTGAGAAATAACATGCAATTCAGATGCAAAGAACGTAATGCCGTTTGTCAGGGGAAGAGAAGGAAAACAAGGTCACCTGAGCTAAAACACAATGGAAATAAAGTTTGTATAAATTACTAAAAGACACAGATTTTGGTTACATCGCTGCAGTTACACCCCTGAAGGCTCCCTGCATGTTTGGTGGTGCCAGCTGAGGCAGCTGTTTTATCTAGGGCACCTACAGCAGCAGCACCACACAGCACAGTGCCTGGTACACACCCCGAGTCAATCTTACTGGAAAGACCAGTAGGGGAGAAAACAGTGCTTACTTCAATATTAGCCAAGGCTGTTCAGTGCCTACATTTCAGATGTGAAAAGCACCGATGAAAATTTCATTCAGCACTGGGTAGCTTGATAGTTTTCTGGATCACTTTAGACTGATACCTCTGTGCATGTACAGAACAGACACACCAAATCCTTTTTTTCCCCCATTAATGTTACATTTTTTTCAGGAAGCACTGACAAGCCAAGCAAATAAAAAGAGATGTAAAGTGACTCTAACATTCTAAAACAAATTAAGTAATACTGAGAAGCACAAAAGCTTCTTTAAGGGTAATCCCAAAAGAGTAGAAAAATGGATTTCCAAACAGAATTAGCAAGCCTTGAATTTCTCACTGGATCTATGATGACAAGTGTTAAGCTCAATAAGTCCATCATTGCACTAGTGATGCAATTGAGAGACTTCCAAATTCCAAAAGTGCATTCCAGCTTTCTGCACGACTTCTGTAATTTTCAGGGACTGAATAGGGAAAAGAGAATCCTGGAAACCATGAGAGCATCCTAGGATTTTTTCCATTAACAAAATGAACAGAGACTTTTCAATATGTGACATGCGCATTAACCACAAATGCAGCGATCTGATGTATAGAAACAAATGGATGTTGGGAAGAGGAGCACAAGAAAAAACAGCATTCTATGTTTTTTTTTTTGCTTTTAAGTGGAATGATAATCTATATTTCACCTTTTGTAGATGTTTATGAATAAGAGATAACTGGTCTCCACTTCCTTTTCTTACTCCTCTATTTCAGCAAATAAATAGTAAAGAAGTTTTTAAGTATCAACAGTGATGAAAACCTGTGTTGCTGTTTTTTCTTTTTTAAAGGCACTCTAATCTCACCTTTTTAATTTACAACACAGTAACAACATTAGAGGAATTTGATTAGCCAATCCTATATTGACTTTCCCATGAGATAAACACCTGAAAAATACCATTGTGCACTAGAAAAGAGAAAGCAAGTTTTGTTATATATTGCCTCTGTATTGTTCCAGTTTGCACTGAATATATTCCAAATGCATATTTTCCTTTATATTAGGAACATTCTGTTTGGCAGTCTATTTACAGACAGGGCCTATTACCAACCTTTTTGTATCTCCTTTTTGGACCTTTACCCAGTGCTCCACTTGAGCCATATTACTTTTTCTTTGAATCTGTTTATCTGGATTTGTCCTGGGAACAAACCCTCTTTTATATGAGCCGGTACCATTCTGCTCCACTAGGCCAGCACTCATACTTAATGAACTAGGAAGCGTTCCATTCTTCTCAATGGGCACAGACTGAGCTACTTGGGATCGTGGTGCATTCGTTAAATCTGGAAATAATGAATCAGCTTCTGTTAACGCATGCTTAGCCTTTCCCTTCTTAGTTTCTAGAGCTTCCTTTCTGTGGATATAACGCTCCTCCTCTTCTTTGTCTCTTCTTATCTCCTCACGCTTATCATATCCAAGCATTTCAGCAGATTTTTGATAACTTTCTTTTGTGCCGGTAATCTCTGCCTTCACACACACTTTACAGGCATCCACATGATTGACTTGGGGAACAGCTCGTTGATCCGCCTTTTCAGTTTCTCTGAAAAGAAAATATATGTTGGTAATGAACACCGTTTAGCTGTCAGAAGTTGATGCACTCTCGTTAATATTTTAGAAAGGATAGCTAGAAAAGCACCTTCTCTAGGTTGTACTGAATTTGACAGATGTTAAGACAGACATGGTCAACAAAACTCAAGTTATTATCCCAGTCAGACGAAAGTTACCTCTGCAGGAATCTTTTATATGCAGCTGTAAAATAACTGAAAATATTAATACTGTATGAAAATTGTTCAATTTGTGTAATACTACATACAAACAACCATAGAAAAAGATATCTTCCTATCCTAGGAAGCACAGAAAGCCAAAAAATAGAAAACCAACTGCCAGCTGTGCATCTTAAAGTGAAAAAATGTCTTTCATATATTCATAGATTCCCTAGAGACTAGTAATTTCTGGCTAGAGGACAGACCATCTACATTTGACTCTGTACTGCCATTGTCTATGAAAACTACAGTATTGCTATTCCCAAACAAAGTTAAATTAAATCTCAATTTTCCCTAAAACACACCATTCATGTTACTTTATCATCCAAATATTTCAAAAGTTCCATACCAGAATTCCTGATACAAAATTTGCAATGCACTACAAAATGTCGAAGGGTCCGAAAAAGCTTTACACTGCTTTTGACACGCAACACATTTCATTTGCCATTTTCTTCATCTCTTTATAGTCATAAATTTCCCTACCTCTAACAGTTTAATAGTAGCATCGTTCTCATTTTCTCTAAGCTATGTTTCCTCAAAGCTTTACAGAAGGTGGATTTCCAAGTAAATGTCACAAAACAATAGTTTTCACCTCACTCTGATAGTGTAGTAAAATTGTCTACTAGGAGAGCACTGAGCAATCTGATCAAGCTGTGGACATCCCTGCTCATTGCAGGGCAGTTGGATGAGGTGACTTTTTGTTCCTTTCACCTCTAAGAATTCTATGATTTTGTGATGATTTTGGAACTATCAATACTTCTAATGTGCCAGGCTTCCACGATTTTTCTTTCAATTACTCCTATCCTTATAAAGGACATAAAGAATAACAAGTAACAGGTCTCACATTACTCGAAATTAAAATTAATTCCAGAAAATTTTAACGAAAATCATATAGTGTGTAAAAGTCCAGAAGGGATGTTAGACTTTTGTTTATACTGTATTATATTTACTAGAAGCAATCACTAGTGCAAGATAGCCTGAGAAAATGCACTATGACATTTCAACTCTCAGAGTGCCATAGATAAAAAGCAGGGCTACCTCACAGTACAACAGAAGCTTCTTTCACAAGGGCTCGAAGGGAAAGAATCACACCAAAGTCAAAACTTAATCGAGAAAGTTATATCAGCTTTAAGAAAAGGGAAAAACTGGAAGCCCATGAAGGCACAGTGCTTCAAGCACTGTTAAAGAACCAAAGTACATCCTTCTTTTAAAACTGCACTTTTTTCTAGACTGAGGAAAACATTTAATTCATACTAACGGCCATCAAATTAAGCCAAAAATAAGCAAGTTAATGTCTGCATAAATTAGCTAATAAACTTAGCTCTGTGCATTTGTAATGTACTCATTTTTAACATTCTTTTCCCTCTTAGGAAGGCTCTGATCCTAGTTCTAAACACTTAGCTGAAAAGACTCGCTGCTTTTTGTTCTTTCCCTTCTATTTACCTTCCTTACAGCTGCCATTTGGCTGTTGCATGCGTATGAATTTTTCTCACAAACAATTGTAACTTCAATTCCCTAAAAATACGTATATAGAAAAGAAATCCGTGTCATTAAACGGGGGCATACAGTCTATTTGTTGCTAACTAGCCGATCTGCAACAGGAACAAGTTGCAGAAATTACAAGAATCATTTCTTTAAAATTGAAATAGGTTTCATAGCACACAGTTACAAGTTTCCCCTTCAGAAATCACCACCCAGTTTGTTTTCTAAGCTAGGAATTGGCCTATGGAACTTGCCTTCTCAGTGAAGAGCGTGTTTGCATAAGGGCAGCTTGGTTCATAGCCCGAATCCAGCTGTTCATATCCTCCTGGGTATCTGCACTGAAGTAGTACGTCCGCATCCCTGAATGCTCTGCCTGAGAGCCAATAACAGAATTCTTATTATAAATATATGCCCGCATCCCTGTATGGACAGCCTGTCAGAAAAAGAAACAAAAACAAAACACAAAGAAATCAACATCGGACAGCACTGCTGTTTTCTCTCCAGAATGTTTATTGCAACTTTTCCTGATATCTTTAAAATAAGTAAAACTTTCAGCATTCTTTGGCTGAAGTTAGGGTACAATTATCATCTTGCCACAACTGGTAGCTCTGCAGCAAACACCAATGGCACTCTCTAAATTTTACTGAAATTCTTACCCACACTATTAGGCTACAAGTGCAGCATTTCTGTTTTTCATAGTAGGAACTTCCACTTTTTAAATTTTTCTTAATTGATGTTCCATTTACTGCCAATAACACACAAAACAAATTAAATTAATTTTCACTGAGACACGTGTAAGTGAGCAAACCACCACAGCTTTCTTCATAAAGCAATTTAGTCAGACAAAACAAAGACAAAAATTTTACCATTCAAGCAATTAAACTGCTTCTTTAAGAACTGTTAAGATCTTTTTGTTAAAGCGTGCACTTGAGCCCCTTTATTAGCTGCAAAATCACAAGACTTACTGAGGAAGTTATCAATACAGATGGAATTACTAAAGTGCATAAAATACTGACAAGCATCTCTGTATATCAAAATGTCCCATGGAATTCCACTGAAGACTACAGGTATTCAGAAATTTCTCAATAAACATATCAAACACCTAAATAGTAGTGCTGTGCACAAAATCATGTTTGAAGCGGGATGTCTGTGCAACTCTAGGCTAATTGAATTTAATCAAATCTTATCCACCTTTGTATAAGGGATAGTATAAACATCACTATGTCACACAACTACGTTTCAAGACTAATATTTCCTCCAAATTACCTTGTGGATGCTGTTTAGCACTTCATATGCTCTTCACGTTCATTAACAAAACTAGTAGGAAAAGACTGATTTCCCTATTTCTTTTCAAAAAAGCTGAATCAAGTATATTCAACATGAAAGCTCTTGCAAAAAAAATCTAAATAAAACAATTTACATTGCTTTTAATAAAACTAAACCTGCTATAACAGAAAAAGCTAATGGCTAAGACAGCATCTTTTCTTTAACATTCAGTGCAAGAACACAGCAAGAAAAGCAGCTCCAGACAAAAAAGAAATCAATGACTTCAAGTTAGACCTTATGTCTACGTAATTCCTATATACACACTATTTTGAATCTAAAGGAGAAGATGCTAGAATACTGAAGTGAAGCAACTCTAGACTATACATGCACCAGTAGGATCCTAACCTTCTCTGGCTACAAGCTTGATGGAAATAATACAAACATAATAAACCAACAACGGGACTTTGGTTAACAAACTGGAGACTGTATACCCCCAGAAATACATGGATTTATTTCACTTGTATGTTATGTTCAACATAATTCATTTGCCTTTCATGCTCCCTTTCAGTGGTGTATAATGAACACAGCTGAAAGCATTGCTTAAAAGGCAATGGAGAAACAGAATAAAAACGCAAAGCATGTTGCACTATTCTCCTGTAAAAAACTGAAGCTATCGCAGCCAAAACCATTGATTGCTCCAGAAGGGAAAACAGAGATGGCTTGCTGTTACCAACAGACCCGACATCTTGAAGTTTGCAATATATAAAATCAGTTGAAGGAAAATTCTGATACGTTTCAGTTACAGTCATTTATTAGTAGCATGTGTAATAAGTAGAAAGCCACTTTCTGCTCGTGTCTTGTAGCTGTCCCTCCTAGTAGAAACAGAAGCCAGCATTTTTTTTTGTTGTTGCTTGTTTTTAAAGCCACAGCTATTAGGATGACTACAGCACATGAACAAGCCTAAAACACAGCACGTGCCACACATACATAGTACACAACAGGGAAAAGTAATACCGGTACCTATTCATGCATTCAGACGCCTTAATGCAGATAGATTGAGAAGGGAAGCAGTCTCTCTCCCAAAATGCACAGGAGAAATGGACAGTAAACCCCAAAAGCGTATCAATAAAATAAGACAGGGACAAAAAGTTAAGTTAAAATTGTGAAAAGATCCATGTTTCTAAAGAAAATATTCAATAAAAGATTATAGTAATATAAGTATACAGGAATAAGTATCTACAACTGCTATCTTTATTCCAAGTTGTTCTGAGGAGAGAAAAAGCCAGAGTTCACAGAATGGAGGGATGGCAAGAGGAACACTTTTTCTTTCCTTTTTTTTTTTATTTTTTTTTTTAAATGAAAACCAGTGAAATTGTCCTGTCCCATTTGGTCTAAGCAGTGAACAGATATTTGCTTTAGTCTGTCTTGAGTATCAATAATGTAAATATATTGAAAAAACAGTAGAGTAGCATCTTCTTGGAGTAATGATTTGGCCTGGCTGCCTTGGCTCTGAGTGCCCCCACACTGACTGGCTAAACCTCTGAAAAAACGCAAAGGATAGTATCAAAGTAAAAAGGAGTTTTATTTGTTTGGGTTTTAGCTCCAGTGTACTTCACATCTCTCACAGAGCATCAAAGCTTATTTCACTGACTTTATCTGGTGGCAAGATGTGCATATACATACTGACATCCACTCACATACATTGGCTGTGCTTAAAGTTTTGCAGCTTTAGAGCAGACGCTGGTAGACCTTCCAATTATCAACAATTTGCATTAATGTCAGATTTATAAAATGAGTTTCTCATATTTTAACATATAAAATCAATTAAAGTATCTTTCCAGACAGAGAGCAGGAAGACTTCTAAAGAGACTGCAATTACATTATCTTCTATGAATTGCTAATATTTATATGTTAAATTGTATTACTAAGAGGCACAGTACATTCTCTATTTGTCACAAGGAATATTTCCAGCTATATATGAATGTCATGTGAATTTTTTCACAGCGAAGTCCAAACATAGCATTTGTGGTATCCCACATCTGCATCAGCAGATAACTACTATATGAAGAAATAGAACTATTAATTAATACTTCTAAGATATTAGCTACAGAACTGAATGTGCAAAGATACTCAGTTTTAAGGGTCACCACACAAATTAATGACAGTAGTAACCACAGGACTTTGCTTGGGAGAAATAGTGTGAAAAGCTTGTCAAGATGGACACTTAGAAGTTGCTGATCAGAGCAATTTAACACACGTATTCCCACATTTCCAACAAGTTTTGAATGCATCTGAACAGCCATATGCTTTTCTACAGGCCTGTCATTACCAAGTATTTAAAGACGACACAAAATGCATGGGTCCTTTGGAGGTGATAGAAGGGCAGAAGAACTTCCACAGGGAATGTTTTACTTGCTAAAGTAGACACATACTTTACTAGTTTACTAGTAAACACATACTCTAGAATTTGTCTTCTAACTGCATCACGTACCAAAAACATTCATGTATTTGCTAAGTAAAATTCCTCTTAGTTTTACAAAACAACATTTTCAGAGTTTGAACACTTACCTAGCTTCAACAACTCACTGCCACTTAAAAAAGCCATTTAAGCTGAAACCTCCACTGTAACAAACAATTTACAGCAACCAGAGTAAGTGACAGGCCAAATGCAAAAAGTGATGCTCCGCATTCTCCTACTCATTCGGGACTTAAATGTGAGAAAGTCCTATCTTTATTTCAGGCTTACTCCCGTTGAGTTTTCTATTTCTGGCTGTGCTACACTGAGACAGAATGTCCGTCTGTGCTTTGGCTATCAAAGCACACTGAGATTAGATAAAGGTAATGGCTGGTGAGTGATGGAATGCCATCATGGCCGTGCTCCCACCACAGTCAAGGCTGCCATTGCTGAATGTTGGTATCAAGTGGGGCCCAGGCAGCAGGAATCATTCAAAATCTGCCAACTGCCGTAAGAGCTGGTTCTAAATAAAATGAAACTGCATTGCAAGTGCTTGCTTCTCTATTAACTGAAAATCCCAGTTTATTGGCTCAAACTAATCTTCAGAAAAGATTCAGATTAAAGATTTAGTACAGCTCACATAGGTATAATATCTTGGAAGGATCAGGAGAAGTCTGCACTTGCTTCTGAATATATTTAACCACGTCATAACCATGGGTTCTATTCTGCAGGAAGAAAGAGGCACAACTCGGCAGTGGTGACCAACAGCTTGCCTACAGAACGCATCATTTGGAAACTATGTGTGTGTATGAATGATTTTAAATTAAAAGAGAGGATTTTTAGATTAGATACTAGGAGGAAATTCTTTACTCAGAGGGTAGTGAGGCACTGGAATAGGCTGCCCAGAGAAGCTGTAGTTGCCCCATTCCTGGAAAGCCAGGTTGGATGGGGTCCCGGGCAGCCTGATCTAGTGCCTGATTTAGTGGGTGGCAACTCTGCCCATAGCATGGGGCTGGAACTGAATGTTCTTTCAGGTCCCTTCCAACCAAAGCCACACTGTGTGCATATATACACATATCTACATGCACACACACATTAAGATTCTTTCCCTAATGACTGATAGTCAGCTGAAGGTTAACGATCCTAAACCACGCTTGATTAACACATTAGCAAACACACTCCCAGGAAATTAAAAAGAATCTTTTCAAAACACTAAAACAGCAAGATTCAAGCAGATACTACTGCTATTTCACCTACATTCCCAACCTGCACTAAGATTTATTCAGTAGATGTAGAAGCCTAAGCATACATTAGGTCCTCATTTTGCACCATGCGCTTCTGCCTCAAAAAAGGCTCAAAGAGAATTTCATGAATCGCATTTGTTCAAAATTGGAGTAAAATGATTTTTAACAAAGAATCCTCTGTAGCTTATCCTGCTATCTCATGTTCAATATATTTGAAAAAGTACAACAAATACTTCCACAATAAGCAGCAGGTCTTTTTTTAAACACACTTCAAGTTAATATTTGTTTAATAAAATTCAAATCATTGTACACTTGAAAATAAATCCTAATGCTACTACAAAAGGTAGTCTACCATTTAAAAACACCTAAAAAAAAATTGAAAGCTGAACAGATGTTTTCAGCAAATGCATAAAGAGAAAGATTTCTTTCAGATCTCTTAAACTACATCTGCTAAAAAATGAAAAAAAAAATAGTTGTTTGTTTAGTAATATAGCTCACCTGCCACTTCAGTACACAGCAGAACAGGTTTTTTCTCCAAATACCAGCATAACAAATTTGCAAACATACACTGACATTTCTGATCTTTGCCTTAATGCTGCAACTTGGACAATTAGGCAGGATTTTCTACTGTTAAGAAGGAATGAATTTTGTATTTCACTTCCTCCATAGGTTTTTATAAGAGCTAATAGAATTTGAAATCATACAATTAAATTTCTTTTTAATTAAAAAAAAAAAAAAAAAAATCAACAGAACATTAAAGCTGCATTGAAAGAGTGCTTTTACCTTAAAAAAAGAAAAAGAAAAAAAAAGCAGAAAATTACTCAACATCCCTTAGGACAATTATCACTTCCAAAAAAGAAAGGAGAAATTGCATACTCTTTCTTCACTTGAAAGGAGGCAATTATATATCAGAAGTCAGTGTTGCTGTTTTATAACTATGAAAACTGAGCTGCTTTTTTTTTTTTTTTTTTTTTTTTTTTTTTTTACAGAAACCACAATAAAATTAAAATTTAAAAAAGCCATCAGATCAACCACCCTAAAAAGAAAACAAAAATGTCAACTCTTTCAATATCTAAAAGCAGTGGAACAACTTAACATGAATTTCTAATTATCAATCTCTAAAGACGTCTATACATAGTAACATATATTAAAAGCAATTTATAAGTAACAGAAAAGTGCTACGTGACATTTCAATAGACAAAGTCCCTTTGAAAAAAAATCATAATAGGAAAGAAGATATTTTTGCTTACAACAACATGATGATTTCTAATGCAAATAAGCATTTTAAAATACGGTGAGCTGCTAAGCTTTGTACCCATACCTTAAAAGAAAATTTGCGATTTATACGATCTTCAGGTCCAACAGGAGATATTACATAGCTGGGCAATGGTATGCTACCCAACACAGATTCTTCTCTGCTATCTGCAGAATAATAAAGAATAATTTTAAACAACAACAAAAAACACTAATTCACTGCACATTTCAGTGGAATATCAATACATTCTCCATTATGGACACAGTGGTCCATTACAGAAGGACAACAGACAATAGGCATGAAGTCTGAATGTGAGAGAATTAAAATGGATATAAGGAAAAGAAATTTCTACAGGAGGACAGAGAAACAGTGTGACAGGATGACCAAGGAAGCTGTGTCATCTCCACCATTGGAGGTTTTCAATGCATGAACGCATTAAACCCCAAAGAGCCTGATCTGACCTCCTTTTTTGGACTCTGGTTTGATGTTTGGATGCTCTTTGAAGTCTAAATTTTATTGTGACTCCATGGCAACAACACAGAAAAATGTTTCATTTTGAAAGAAGCAATATTGTATTTTTTAATAATAAAGTAGGTGGGGGTTTTTTGTTTGTTTAATTTGGTTTGGGCAAAAGCAGACTTCTGAACAAAGCTTATTTTGACAAATGAACCCTGATAGGCCATGTAACAGAAATGCCTTTCCATTTAGCATTTTATTATAATGAAAAAGCCCCTATTACTATCAACTCTTAAGCAAACAGCAGGAGAAATATAGTGCCCACATCAATTTGAGCTTAACATTCTACGTTTCCCAAAAATTGTAAAATCCTAATCAAAACCTAGAAATAACCTTATGTAATATTATACCATTATTCCTATTCAAAGTAAAATTGTGTTTAACCTGTAGAAATACTGACTACAGGATTTCTCACTCTTATGTTATCACTTGGATGAAAGTTGAATCGATGCCCTGATGTGGTTGCACTGTATTATCATAATCAGCCACACAGCCACAAGGAGGTAGGTAACAACTCCAAACATGAATGGAAAAAATCTTAAACTGGTATTGCTGCCAAATATTTTGTAACGTAAGCCTTGGCATATAGGAAAGACAAGTTATGTGACAAAACATCATACAGCAGCCCCCTGGGTCCCCACCTCTGGCTTGAAATTTGCCACACCTTAAAGAGGAATGGGCAAATCCTTGCTTTACGGTGCATTCTGTTGGAACACCTAACTGTACCTGAAACATTCAACTAGCTTATACTTGCAGTGTGATTTGAATAGGTAAACTGTTACAGGCCAACTCAGAAGAGCTACTATTATCTACTCACCTTTATAGTAAAACAAACAATAATCAGCAAGCACAAACCATCGTCTTTTCCATAGTCGCATACCAGAACTGTCCTGAAACGGAAGAAAGGTGATACATTTTTTATCTGATGAGAATGAGAGCTTAACATGCAGTGCTGTATCAGTGAATAGCTTACCAGAAATCCACCCAAGTATGGCATTAATTACAAAAACAACCATTTTATATTTTACAAAAAATACTGTATACTCAAGAAGAAGTAAAGCATCCAACTATAAAACGATCACATTGCTCATTTTCACTAAGCAATTAAACTTGCATCTAGAGTTCAGATAAACCCCATAAACGATCAGTGCATATTTTTATTGGACAGCTTTGTCCCGTAATAAAGAAAAAAAGGTATGCATCCTGACAGCACAAACTCCAACAAGGATTGCCCTTAGATCAAGATGAAAATCCCTACGACTGTGAAATATGACCTCAAGTTTAAGACAACGATCTCCTGTAATTCTGCAGTCCATTTTCCATACGTTACCCATGCCTAAAATGTAATTTAATAAATATTCCTAAGGAAATAGACCAGGATGCATAACATACAGACTTTAATGAAGTATAATTCAATATGCCTGTGGAGACAAATGTCTCCATATAACATACATCACCTTGTCAAAATGAGTAATATTTACATATAAATTAATTTTAGAAGCCTTTAAAATTGCCAAAATGTAACCTCAGCATGTACAACTGATTACACTGAAGGCTTTGATGAGACCAACTGCAGAGAAAGCATCTTTAGTCTTTAAGTGCTTGCAAGTAGAAGTAAGTGGACAGAAGGAAATAGCTAAATGAACACTATAGATACTATTTACTTCACTTATTTTTCCAGTCATATTAAGTATGCGATGACTTTCTTCCCTTTTCTTTTTCATGCTCTCAGCATAGTTCTGCCTCTGCCCTGAAAACCAATGGACTCACTTAGTGGATGTCAAATGGAACATGGATCTCACGAAGAAGGAAGTGTATGGCTGTCAGCAATTTTTTCCTTGGCATGTAGAATCATGCCTTTAGACTCAGACTTTAGACTTTTCCTACTTGTCCCTTAAACAAGCTGCTAGACCTTCATCAGCATCCACCAGGTTATTATCAAATCAGAAGCAAGTTTTCTTATATAACAGCTTTTTTCACTTTCTGCATTCAAAGATGTCTTCTGCCAGCTTCAAGATGCAGTAACTGCAAAATTCAATAATCCTGCCTTTATTTTGACACTGGTCTTGGTGACAGCAATGTGTGATGCATGAGGCCCTATCTACCTTCATCTTCTCCCTCTGCTCTGAAGGCAAATGAACTGGACTCAAGCCTTTGATCCAGAGCCTAAGGGCAAAGAAGGCAGATGGCTTTCACACCCAACCCCAGGTTAATGATGAGATCTCAAGGGGACTGAGATCAGCATGGTAGTAAGCTAGCAGGATAAAACAGTGGAAATCACCAGACACTGACAACAAAGCTATAGCTTAAACATTTAACCAGGATAGCAGCGTCCATTCATCACTTTTTTCACTTCTGTATCAAACGTGTATGCAAAACCTTGTTTTCACATGTATTGAGCACAAGTCCCTTGTTACAAAAGCTCATGGGTGTTCCTAACATTGCCCAGCATAACCAGCACGATGACTTAAGTTTTTACAGTTATCTGACAGCATGTGGACAGAAACAGATGATTGCATGCTTACCTGTTTGTGTAACCAGCCTCTTACTATCACAGGAACATTGGGATTTCTCCTGATAGCTTGTTCCCTCTTTCCAAAGCTATGAACTTTGTTTCCAGCCTTCATTACCTGTACAGAAGTATACAGTAGCAGTGTTTTTTAAACTGCTCTTACACTTCATATTTAAAATAACTTCCCTGTAACAAGTCATAACACATTAATAGACTATAGCATTTTTAAGGGCAAGCATACAGACAAAAATGTTTACCATACAGCAAAAGCAACTTCCCACTCTCATCAACACATTGGTGTCAGGATGGTGTGCTAACAGCAGTAGTGCTGGTGGCTCCAGTCTGAATGGCAGAATCACTAAGTTTTATTGTGCTTGGAATGTACTTCTGAGTGCACAACAACACCTGCATGCAAGCATCCCTCTACAACACATCGGAGTTTGTGTTCAGGAATAGTAATCTTGTTTTCAGTTGCTTGCTCTATGTTTGGTGGTTTTTTTTCCCATTTAAATTCACATTACATAGACAGTTCAATAAAATGCTTGGCTTTAACCCCGCAAGCAAAAAAGGGAAGATGTAGCAGCATGACTGCTAAGGAAGAGACCTCGATGGTAGTAAAGAGAAAATAAGGACTATGTAACGCTTTGTTTTAATACAACCTTGGTTTTGACTCACATCAGCAAACCAATTTCAAAAAGGAGCAGGGAAAGTCTGTGCAAAAGGGAGCAAAACTCTCTAGATGAATGATCTGCCTGTTCTTTTCCAATCTCAGCAGCTTGCTACTGCAATTGCTTAGGAACCCGAGGTGCACAAACTGCCCTCAGAGTTGCACCCAATCTCTCCAAGGAAAGAGCTGCCCAGATTCACTTCCTGCCTCCTTCCTAAAACGACCCTGCGATGTTGTCTTTGTTCAAACCCCTCCTTTTGAGTGGTCGGGGAACTGCTACTCTGTCAGCTGCAACAAACAGCAGCTCTGGAAATAAGCATGTTTGTCATATGCAAAAGATGATACAGAAAAACCTCAGTGCACTATTTCTTCCTGTCAGGCAACATCTGGACTCGAAGTCAGCACATATAATCATAAAACGCTCCAGCAATGTATGAGTACACAAAGAAAAATTCTCCTCATTTTGAGGCCAGGCTTTTCCAACCTATACTAAATTTCATACATTTCAGTAGATGCGAGCACAACTCTTAATGCAGAATTGAGATAATGACAATAACTAGTTAAAACAAAACAAAACCACCCAGTAATTTCCTTGCTTTGGTGCCACAGCATAAAAAGCAGCCATGTAAACGTGTAACTTGTAAGCAGATAACAAAGAACAGTTTTTACTAGGTAGTGTGCTGAGGCCTGTTTCTCAGGGAGCAGCAGAGTGCTTTCCGCTCTGCTGAGATGCAGGTGAGCTGCACGTCACCGTCATTACTGTGAGAGACACTGACACAGGAAGAGTGCCAAGCGTGGGCTCTTTCCTAGGCACAGTTGGCATTGCAGTGCGAGGCTGAACAAGGTTTACCTGTGGCCCAGTGCTACACAGAATATCTGAACAACCCAGCTGCCAAAGGCTAGCACACACCCAACAGGCCAGGCTGCCAGCAGAGCACCAGCTTTCTGAGCAGATGATCAAGCACTTGGATTCCTTGATCTCAATTCATTTTTCAATTTTACTAAATGCAGAAAAGCCACCATTAGACTAACATATAAAAAAAACCCAAAACACAACAGTTATTAGACAAGAAGGGGGTAAGTCCTTCTAGGGCTGTATATTTCATACCAAAACTCGCCGTAGAAATAACTATTCTTCCACCTAATTTAGATTTTTCATATTATCCATAGCATAAATTGTTTCATTCAGTTCTAGAGTAAAAACAACTTCATATCTTGCTTTCACTGGCTACAGTAAGAAGTCAGTTTAAAAGAAAAAGTGTAATTTTAAAACTCTTTGCATGTGCTGGAGTGATCTTTTCCTAACTTGAAATATTGATTCCACTGTCATGTGTTGAGACATGCAGGTCAGATCAGCTGAAGACAAGTCACTTTTAATTTCAACGCATCTGTTACACTGACTTGTTTGTGAGTGACTCACATTTCCACAAAGAAGCAAAATATCAAGAGCCAAAATTTCAAATTCCTTTTCATCACTGCTTCATCCTCTCCTCCATTAGAGTAACATCTAGCTGAGAAGGAAAGTTGTTAATTATATTTATATATATATATATATATATATATATAAAACTGGACAATCAAAATAATCAGCATTTCATCTGGAAGACATTTTCTAAATTGAAAAAAAAAAGACTATCTTGATGGGAAAAAAGAAGCACACATAAACACAAGAGAATGCACAACTTCACTTATAAAACAAAAATATATTATTAGTATTTAGCTCTATGTCCTAACCTGTTCTGTTCAACAATCTCAAGATGTTCTATAGCCAAATTAATTCATCAATTCTTTCTGTATCTTTAAGAAAATTAGACAGAATTCTTATTTTTCAAACAGGATGAACTGAAACACTCTGAGTTCCTGTTGTTGATAATGAACATTCCTTTGAAGTAGCCCTGACCTAATCCCCACATTCCAGCTCCAAACGGCTGCAGAGTTTGCTCCACTGCACACTTGCCACCATTATCAGTTTCTCTCAGCTGCTATACCAGTTCTTTATTTACTTGTTGCAATTCTCAGCTGTGCATATTGGAAAAATATAAGCAACTATCAATGTTAACAACAATTCAACTATTTCTCCTGGACAGAAACTACCAAAAACAGACACACCGCACTTAGTAAGTAAAAATTACATGACAGTATTATTCTCTACACTCCTGCCTTGACAAAAATAGTAGCATTTGCTGACTATATTCCAAATTATTCTCAAATTGTAGCAGTCCTTTACTCTTCCAATAACCTTTATTCATAATCAATATGAACAGCTTTTAACATGGTTCATAATGGAGAAACATGCTTCTGTAATTTAATCGTCTTTGGGATAGAGAGTGATTTTCATCAACATCCATTTTGAATTGTATTTCCGAAACTCCATACCCCTTAAGCTTCAAAAGGTGAACTGGTCTGAAGTCTTCACATGACTTATTCAGACAATACCAGCATGAAGGGGGTGAGGCTCACCCTAAGGACTGACATACGTTTCTGCAAAACTACCCATTCCCAGGTGTCTTATGAAATGAAGGCATGTATTTATACAGATATCAATAAAACAATGACAGCTTTGGTTTTAGTTTGTGATAGTTTTGTTTGTTTGTTTTCCAACATGCTCCTCTTTGTTGTGCAGTATACAACAGACATTGTAGTAGAGTGAATGCAAAATTCTCTTTGAAAACAACCACTTTTTATTTCCTACATTTGATTCACTCCCAAGCTCAGAATTGAATCTCGAAGCAGGAAACCAGTAGGCTTTGTCTCTTTCAGCATTCAAACCATATGCAGACAGAGTGCCAGTACTATAGCATTTCCAGCACAAAACCATGAAGCATTTCATAAAAGGTGATAGACAGCTATAGGTACCAAGAGGCTGTGGTAAATACAATGTGACTCTGGCTTCACGACTGTGCCCCAGACCTGTGCCTGGAAAGTCACTCTACAAAAACAATGATTATAGAACTCACAGAAACCTGTAGAGAACTGAGGAAAGGTTCGTAAAATCTACTCTTAGCGTGCTAACAAATAACCTCAAAGTGGAGGGCACAGATTATTCACTTTTCAGCTTTTCTTCTTGTTGCTGGTTAACTTGAATCAATTCTGATGGGTTGTGAAGGAATTTAACACACTTCTTTCTGATCCTACAGAACATAGGGAGCGTTTTCAAGCTTGGAAACCCGAATTCAATGATGAATCAAAGCGTATATGAAAAATACTTTAGTTTTCTGTCTTAATAAAAAATGAAGTACTTATTAAGGGTCCACAGCTGGAAGGAGTTCACATAAACAAAATTGGTGTGGAAGAAAAGTACTTGCAAGTCCTCTATGAGAAGTCCAGTCAAAGTCTAAAGCTGCAAAGTATTTTTTAAAATGCCACATTTGGCAGCCTGGCAGAAACATGCAAAGCCACACTACTACTGGACAGCAAACAAAGTAGCAAAAGAGATCATAAACAAATCTGTTGAAGTTTTGGGAGGTGACTGTGGTTATTTTCCGAAGCTGTAATGAAAAAAGCATTTCCCTCCATCTAGCTGTGCAGTTGTCGTCTCCCATAAACCACCTCTGTCATGTGGGTGGCCCTGTACATTGTGTCTAGTCAATTGTTGTTTTTACTGTTTGCAGAAAAACCAGATTAGATCGGTGCAATTACAACAGAGCAGCGGAGCACATTGGTTTCATGCTGGATTCACGCTTACTGGCAGAAGTAGGAGCCTGGATCAGTTAAAGACACTACACTGCTCAAAAAATCTCCATATCAAAGCAGAGCATCAGGTCCCCAACAAGTTCACCCATTTTAAAAGTGGAAAAAATAAAGCCTTCTCCCACTAATGCTGGCATTACAAAAATGAGAATAACAAGGATAAATGTAAACTCAAACGCACGAGTACTTGGTAAGTACTAGTCCTCTAGCCCAACTCAGAGCCCTATTATAATTAATGATAAAACACATCAGCATTGGTCTTAAAAGCAAGCAAAGTTCTGATCACCAAATTCAAACAACAGTCTGTTTCCTTTACCTTAGAACCAGGCTTTGTATCAACAGCAGACATAGTTACTGCAGTGGATGATTCACTGACCATGCTTGAAGGTCTTTGGTTTATTTGTGGCTTGGACATAGGTGAATTCTGTCTAGAAAACAAAAACAAACAGATACTCTAAAGTATATTGTATCAAACATTTATTTTTGCCTTCTTATATTTGAGATTCTAAATAATCAAATGACAGGCTGGTCCAGTCGCAAGGGAAACATTTTCCATGTGTCAGCTCCGTGGCACCATCCCTACTGTTTTGAGTTGGGGTATTTCTCAAGCATATACTGCCAGTGACATCTGATGACTGGCATTTTCCAGTGTATCAGGAGAAAGAAACCCGTCAAGTCTTCACATCCAACAGAGAACCAAGTTACAACCAACAGCATTCAGAGAAGATAAGATTAATGCTATGCCTGTTTCAAAGGCTTGGCTGCAAAGGTGAGGAAGAAACAAGACCAAGGAGGAAGAGGCAGGAGTCACAAACACTTTGCAGTTAGTGGTCTGTTGTTGAAATTAAAGGTGAGGCTAATCTAATGTCTGATCTTTAACTCAAAAAAACAAGTTATACTACAATATGAGTTATTAAAATAAAAATACTTTTATTTGAAGTGATAGAATTCATGGTACATACTGAAAACAATAAATAGCTAGGAGTCATACAAGTACTCAAGAAATCTGGATAACTATCTCAGACACAGATACACATTTAAAGCACAGGGAGATGAATCCGACAGTAAGAACCTGTCCAATAAGTAAAAATTCAGTACAGCTGCCCAGATGAAGAAATGAGGGCAAACGCAAGTACAAAATCCTGTGGCATTCCTTATGGAGATTACAAACAGAAGCCTCAGCAGCCAAGCTTGACGCTAACGTGTCAGCTGAGCCAGCGTGTGGTATTTTCAAAAAATCATTAAGAACACTTTAGCAAATTGTATTGTAGGAACATTAACTCATTCATTGCAAAAAAAAAAAGCAAAACCAAAAAACCAACAAACCAAAACACCTACTAACAAATTATGATTTTTTTCCTTTTTTTTTTTTTAAACAAACACAAGAAACAAAACACAATATAAGCCACAACAAGCATTCCTATAGCTGCTGCTGATTCAATCATATCCTCAATTTCAGCAGAAAACAAAGCAACTGTGAGTAGTTCTCAATCATAAGAACTGAAGTTTGTGACTGTAGTAGCCCAAAATATAGCTTTAGCTTAAGCAAGAACAAGTTGCTTGCCTTCCGTTGCACTCTCAGCTACAACACAATCACCTGTCCAAAAGCTTTTATAATTGATGTAAAAAAAAAAACCAAACAAACCACGTTCTTCCACATCTGTCTACAGTTTAACTCATCTTGCAAGGAATTAATACCTTAACCTTGACCTATTTCCCTCATACACTGCTTTATCTGGCATAAATTCCCTCTTTGTAAATACAGGACCAAGACAGGAGAATGAACTACAGCAAGCACCTAAAATCCTGGGCCAGCCTTCAGTGTGCAAGCACTTCATGACCTGAATTTGAGCCAATCTGCTGTACTTTTTAGGGACCAGCTGCCCTATTTCAGCAATTCATCAGCTTTAGTAATACCCATTTTCAGCAAACAGATTAAGATGCTTCCCATGCAAAACGTCACCTGACCGAACTATTTCTTATCAGTCTTACCTGCTTTTTGACTTGCACTAGTTGCTTTTCTATTCTACAAAGTTTCAGAACAGACAGAAAACACATGCTTGCAAGGAGCACATTTTACTTGCAAAAGCATAATACTTGCCATTTCCTAATATTTGCTTATCAAAAAGGTCCCATTTCCCTGCTTCAGGCAGTTTCAAAATAAGAAATTGAGAGTAGGCATTTCAAAGTAAGATGAATTCTAATGAAGAGTAAAGGCCTTCAACCCTGCCTCTTAGAATTGAACCAAACCACATCAGTGCCACATCTATGTTTCTTAAACACCTCTGGGGATGGTGACTCCACCACCTCCCTGGGCAGCTTGTTCCAGTACCTCACCACTCTCCCTGATGAGAAATTTTTCCTAGTATCCAACCTGAACCTCCCCCAGTGCAACTTGAGGGGGAAAGCTGGAACATATTCACATAAATATGAGAAAAAAACTTCATGGTGAGCATAACAGAACACTGGTACAGGCTGCCCAGGGAGGCTGCGAGGTCTCCTTCTCTGGAGATACTCAAAACCTGCCTGGATGTGTTCCTGTTTGACCTGACCTAGATGACCTTCTCAGGTATCTTCCAATCCCTGATATTCTGTGATTATCTCTCATCTCACCGATGTGGGAAAAAGAGGCTGACCTCCACCTCGCCACCATGCCCTTTCAGGAAGTTGTGGAGAGCTATAAGGTCTCTCCTCCTTGGCCCCACTGCTGACTCACGTTCAGCCAAGCATCAACCAATGCTTCCAGGCCCTTTTCCTCCACAGCTTTCCATCCTGTAGTGATGCATGGGATTGTTGTGATCAAAGCACAAGAACCAGTAGTTGGTTTTGAAGTTCACACAGTTGGCTTCAGACCATTGATCCTGCCTCTCCAGATCCTTTTTGTAGGACCTTCCCACCCTCAGGCAGATTAACACTTCTTCCCTTGGTATCATCTGCAGCCTTACTGAGGGTGCACTCAATCCGCTCATCCAGATCATTAATTAAGATATTAAACAGGACCAGCCCCGATACAGAACCCTGGGGAACACCACTCATGATCAGTCACCAGCTGGGTTAAGTCCATTCACCACCAAGCAACAATTAACATACACACTCAGGAAACCTGTAAAATGAAAAGCCTGCAGACAATCTGATTAGGATATGTTTCTTCACTTCATAGAGTAGCTATTTCAGAGAGAGAGAGGGGGAGAGAGAGAGAGAAAGAGAGAGAGCACGTACATGCCAACTTAGGGAGAAGAAAAATTAAAACTAAAACTTTAGTCTTAACAAATTAGAAATTAATTTTTGCAACAAAACTTATGGAAAAAGAAATGATCACCTCCCTCATCCTGGAAGAATGGCTTTAAGTGCAAATCGGTGTAGGCACCCACAGACTAATGACATGTTCATGTCTGCTGTTCAACAAGATACTGTTTTGTGGTGTTAAACTTGACACATTAAAAAAAAAAAAAGGAATTCAACAACAGAAAATGAGGAAGCTAAGAACTACAGAGAAAGCCAAGATTTATACAAATAACAAGACCTATCAGAGAAATCACTCTGAACTATCAGAAAACTGTAATGTAATACAGAACAACAAATCCACTGTTGCTAAGAACTGATCATTTTATCATTTAATGATTTCTCTTCCATTTGTTACTGAAAACAATCACTGTCAATAAATAAAGCTTTCATTTGTTAGTATCATCAAGATAAATGAAGAACTTCAACTTGAAAAATAACAAATTTTAAAAATAAAGGAGAAAAAGATAAAAGCATGCAAGGTTGTTGTCATGGAAAAACACAAATAGCCAGCAAGAGACAGTGAGTCAACTGAAACAGGAAAAAAAATAACAAACATTCTCCTAAAACAATGTCTTTGATGGCAAACACTGATAATCCAAACATTAGGCACCTAAGACATAACAGAAGACACAAAACAGTACTGAAAATGAATTTAAAATACTTTTACATCATATTTCAAGATTAAAATAGTATAACAGACTTGCATTAAATCAGATCACAATCAATCTCAAGGTCAAGTCTCTCAATAGCTAATTAGTGTTCTCAGTTTGTTTTAAATAGCAAAGAAAAATATATAAATTATACAGAATTACCTGAAGCATCTCTATGTGTGTAACAGAGTTAACATCAACCTAACAGTGCTTGCAGATTCATCTTCAAAAATGAGGAAATAAAGCATTAGCCCTGTACATTTAGATGCATTAGTTCAGAATCACGACTGCCAAAGATGTTTGATAATATCTGTTTAGATTCTCTTCATAGTGCTGGTTTTCTTTATGTTCTGGTCAGTTTTCTTGCTGCCTCCCACAGAAGCGTACATGCATAAACATAATCCAGTTCCTTGTAAATCTTTAGAAAACATATGAAAATAACTCCATATTCTAACATATATATATGCTCTAATATCTCCCTCCTATCAAGGAACTTCCTACTCTACTTAAACTGTGTAAGGATGCCTAAAAAAAAAAAAATCACAGAAAACTAACTCAAAGAGAATCACATTGACAGTATTTGATTTATTTAAAAAATTGAACAAAATGGGATTTTACACCAGTAGCTTATATTGAAAACGCAGTCCTCGAGAGAAAACAAATTCCTTTTCTCTAAAGGATGATAAAGATTAGTCAACTGAAAAGATCCACGTCCATACCAGTAACTCAGAAGGTTTATTTTGTTGGAACAAAACAACATCATGTCAATCCAGCTCTTACATTAATAAATCTCTTATTCAGATAGAAAAAAAAATTAGCTGTCCTCATATTTCTATACAAATAAAACATGACAGATGTTTATTTTGGGGCTTTTTGGGTTTCCTCTCATCTCTTCACCTGATACTTTTGCTGCTATAGTAACCAAATGTAATAGACAAGATGGCTTTTCTCTCTAGAGATACACAGACTTTATCAGTTGCACAAAAAAACAGGCAAAAAGGGATAACAGACATTGAATTTCAGGCATAACATATGTATTTTCTCCATTCTATACTGAAGTTTTATCCTTTTTAACTTTAAAGTACTGTTTTTTCGTTTGCAAGCGTAATGTAAAAAATATATTAAAAATAAAAGGCACTGTAAAATTTCTAATACACAACTTCTAGTGTTTAGCAACAGATGCAATTAGATATATGTTGTAAGTACCTATTTCTTCCTTTCTCTATAAAGTAATGAATAGCTGTTTACAGAAAAAAATAACAAAAATCCAAAAATTGCATGTGTCTATCCTAAGCAATTCTACCATGAGGTTTTCAAAGAAATGCATAACTAACAATGTGTTGAAACCTGGTCAGTAGTTTGAGAATGAAAGGTGGGGATTCAATAATTGCCTTAGCTAAGAATAGGTCAGGAAATGCTGATATTTTAAAAAAATCTAATTACCAGAACTGCCAAGAAGAAAGAAGTGCATAAGGATCAAAAAAGTCACGCAATTAAAAAGTTACAGTTCTAAGCAATACTCTTTGTCCTTGTTTTCCAACTGCAACGGAGTTGAAGAAATCATTTTGGCTTTAGCAGGAAGAATGACGTGATATTGTTTAAAAGGCAAAATTACTTGGGAAAGCACCAGCGAGGGACAATCTCAGCTATCTGCTGAAAGTGCCCAGTTCTCATTTGATCAAGTGAGTCAAGGGCTTCTGGTTCATAATTGAGTCATAAGTACACGAGGCTGAAATTATTCAATGACATCATTTTACAAATATCTTCTTTCCTTGCCAGTATGTTGATTGGATGAGGAATGGCCTGAGCATGCATCCATCATCTCCACATTACTGTAAAATACTTTTCTGATGGTAAAGGTTTCCTCTTAATAAAGACTTTTGTTGCAACCTGAACAAGTTTCTGCCAAGATCTCCCCACTACTCCTAGTCAATATCTAGTGACTATTCCAGGCTTTAGCCCTAATCTTAAATTAAAATCAAACTGTAAGGAATAAATCACGTCACAACATCACTGAAGAAGAAACTGCTGTATATGAAGCTCTTAAGAGTGCTGCTATATCAGACAGGATTCTTGAGCTACAGAAAAAAAAGGTACTCCTGCTCAAAAGGATCAGATGATGGAGTTACCTCAGATAATGGAAATCCAGGTAAAAACTTTCCAATTGTGTCTTGCTAGTTAAAACTTTTCATCACAAGATATGATCTACCACACTGATTCCAAATTAAAATGCAATCTATGACTCTGATCCCACACCAATCCTTGAGGGAAAGAGACATCTGCATATGTCAGCAGAGCATCTGACAGGAACTCGGGTATGACAACAATGAACAGCATCTGTGTAAAAACTACACTGTTGGAAGGAGTAGTAAAAATAAAAATAAAAATAAAAATCAAAGAAACCAGAGGATCTCAGGTTTCCATCTTTAAATCAGTTTTTGCTTATATATTAAAAATACCTAATTTTAAAAACACCCCGTGTACTTCAGATCAATAATAAAACTTAGAGAACTGTTCTCACAAAGACAGTTCTCTGAGAAGTCACTACAAATACATCTTTCTATATACATACCTCTGCAGTCATTCCCTCTTCACTTAAAATAGAACCCACTTGTCTCTACTAATGCTGCTGCATTGAAAGATTGTTTTTTCTACTTTTGACACCACCTCAGAGCAAGAAGTTGATGACAAGTTATGCCTGTTTATCAGATTGTCCCCCAAATAAACATATTCAATTCTTCTATGAAAATGCTTCTGATAGCTGTAGATCAATAAGACCATGTGCAATCCGTTGTTCTTCCAATTCAGCTTCAAATACTTTCTCTGCTACTATGATTACAAAACCAGAAACAACATATAGAAGTGTGAGTAACTCAGGGAGGCACCCTAAGGAGTTCTGTCCAAACACCTACTTTCCTTCACAAACATGAGTTTTCTCTGTACTAAATTTGAACAAACTTGTCCAGCAGATCAAATAAAGATCCATTAACAGCTGGAAGTCAGAACACAGATGTATAGTGTCTTGTTTATACTGACCTTAAGTGTTGCTCCATTGCAAGATACCTGTTTTCCTCACTAAATGACCGGAGCAGCTTCTTTGAGTACCTGTAAAAGAGCCAGTCCCTTCCCAAGCAACAAGACACGTGCATGACACTAAGCAGGGTGATCTCCTTCTAAGTAGCTATCTCAAACTCTTTGCACCTGCTCACAGACTTCTCCTCTCCCAGCAGAACACATTCATCCATTTTGTGCTGGTTCACAGCATGGGCCTTAAGAGACGACCCCTTGGATTTGCTTTGGGCTCTTGGGAGGGAGGTTTGTTTAGTGTTCAGGTTTTACTAAACTATTTGAGAAGCACTTTCTGGGGTTCTTCCTAAATCTCTGCACAGAAAGCTATATTGTTGTGCTCCACCTCTTCTTTCCTCCTCAGATTCACAACAGAAAACATTGTCACAAAAGCCTCAGACCCCTGGAAGCCTCACAATTTCCTTCTCTATTTAGGCCAATGAATTCAGTACCACTTAAGTGCTCTTAATGCAATATTGGTTTAAATTAAATGTGAATTAAATTAGTGTCACATAGTTTGAAATATAAAGCACTCAAACTCACAAAGGCAGCCTTACAAACCACCACAAGAGGCTATTTTACAGCATGATGTCTACACTCTGTGATGCAGGGATGCAAGTGAGGGCTGGAAGCTGCTGAAGCAGTGTTGCAAGACCAGGATGGAAAAGGGAATGATACATGTTGTTGCTCTATTTCTCTTCTTCTTTGGAATATATTCATAAGTGAAGTAGCACTGAAGTTCTGGATTTTGTATAGGAAAGATACCTAGTCATCCAGTTACAGAGGGGATTTCAGGAGCCAACTAGCATGCAGCATGGGTGATGCTAGAAGGAAATACACTGGGAACTAACATACATGATTCTGTGTCTACAGAATAAACTGAGGAATGCAGGAGCAACCATTTTCAATTAAACATCAGCCCAAGACACAATGAATGTAAAAAAGTTAAAACAAAGGAAATGTGAGATATTACAACAGAAAACAATAATATTTTTATGTATTCCAGTTTCAGTACAAGCATTTCAGTGCTTATGTGAAGATGTTTGAGATTTCTTTAATACAAAGATGGTACTTAACCACACTTCAACTTTATACAGGTATCCTATTTAAAATGCCTCTTTTTTTTCTTCTTTTTTCTTTAATTAAAGATCTGGGAAAGATTCCATCTCTAGTCCCAACATGGAACAGAGCTACAATCAAAAATATACTGTCACAAGAAGTAGTAAATTTTTAAGCATCAAGCAACTGTATGACATTTTTGCTACCCCACGTACCAGACGAATTGTCAAACCACTAAACCACTGTAAGTAAATGTGTCACTATTTCAGGATTCTTGCCATGGGTGTAGAGCTACTTACTCTTCTTGCAAAATAAATTCAATATTTTCTGGAGAAACCTGTCCTGTCACAGGATGTCTAAATGACGTGGTCTGCTGATTATGGCTGAAAGGAAAACAAAAAGAAAAAAAGAAAAAAATTAATATTGAAGTGCTGAACTGCTTAATATATACCTATGATACCCCAAAAGGCAAAACTGTATACGGATGCTTTACTTCTGCTACTCCAGCATTTCTCTTAGGTAATTTCCAAGCTTCTTGCTCCATTCTCGTTGACTGTCAACGGCATATTATACCTTTTAATTATTAAACAGGCTAATGTTTTAGCAGTAACCTAGTTGCAAACCTTACCAATGGAGATGCAATTGAAGTTGTGATTATTTAGATCCGATTGTAACCAGATTATTTAAACACCAACACAGAAACTACAAAGCAAATTATTCATTTGTACTTCTGCAAATATCACAGAGAAGACAAGTGACATATACTAATATGCTGTTGGACAGTTCAAAGTGCCACAAAATATGTAATATTTTGAGCTCAGTGATGTTGATGTTTTGTGGAAGTCACTTATTACATGCATTCTTTTCTCCCTGGTATGGTATGTATTAGTTGCATGCCTTAGATAAATGAACATTACTTAATATTTCATCCAAGTCGAATTAAAATTGTGGTTGTTTTTTTTTTGAATCAATTTTCCCCTCAGACTTCTATCACGTGTTTTGCTACCCTCTAAATAATATTGTCCATTAAAGGCTGTCTATTAATTCATCTATCTGTATAATTGTACTCATATAATGCAGAAATAGTGTGAAAGTTTATTTCAAGATAAACAAGTAGTCTTTTCTCCTCCCAAATATGTCATTTGAATTAGTTTTATAGAAGACACAAGGCAATTTCCACAGTTCTCCATACATAGTAAGCCTCTTATTCTGAAGCTCTATCCAAAGGAGCAGTCTACAAAAATCACAAATCTTAAAGAAATAAAATATGGAAGATCATATTTCTTAATTACTATGATTGTGCATTATGCACCGTTTGGGAGCCCTCGAATGAGGATGGACTTGTGAACAACGAGTTCATTTATTTAAGGTTCTGAAGTTTTACACCAGGAGTTAACAACATTTAGGTACAAACATCCAAAACTAGAATTCCCATCAAATAAAACAAAAGCTTAAAAGTATTCAAGAAAGCAAAAATACAAAATTATAAAATGTAAAGGCTATTAAAAAGCAACAACAACTAAAAACTTGTGCGTTTTTCTGTTTTAGAGAAGATGTGTAATGCTGAGCCACGTCAGGTCTTATAGATGTGACCTAACAGTCTAGCATAGCAAGATATTCCTTAAGAAACAGTTAGGAATCAAGAAATATTTTAGGATTTCAAAGTCAATGCACTCTAAAAAGATAATAGCCTTCTTACAGCATAGAGGATACCTAAAAATCAACCAGCACATGCATCCACAACATTCAGATGTAATCAGCTAAGGACAGACCTTCATCAAAGAACCCAAGTGGCTGCGTTTCCTCTCAGTTCTTACTGATATTGCTCTCAGGAAGTCCACTTAAACCACAAAGAGCAGAGGAAGCTTTCTGCACTGTAAACCTTTCACTCCTTTTCCAACATGCCTTGCTATGCAGCATCATATACAAAAGCAATATAATAAACACTGCCCATGATAAAATGAGAGCAGTGACACCTTATATTACACCAAAAGGACTTATCCCAGCCCCAGCCATTCCAAAACCGCAGCCTTATAGCTATTAAGAACAGAGAGGAACAGGAGGCCACCAAGCACCCAGCGCAGCAGGGCAAGGCTCATTGCCCCAGCAATGAACTGAGTCTGTGGCAGAGGTTTGAAGCAAACTCCTCAGCATTCCCATGAAGTCAGAAGTCCGGAGAAAGTGTTTACATCAACTCTGCAGTGTTAACATCTACAAAGTAGCCATCTTTTTCTTCCAAGAGGAACAAGGAGCACTGTATTATAAAGAGACAGCACTTTCACCTAAGTTTATTAGGCATTACTCTAATTTTGGGCATATGTGCAAAGATAGGAAGAGGAACTTGCAGATTTTTTTTTTTTTGAGCAAATGAATAAATAAACAATAGCAGAAACAAATTTCTTTTTCATCACACAGCCCAAACAGTTTTAAGCCATATCCTTTCCAGTCAGGACCAAAGCAGCCTATTTAACCTTCAATCCATAGGCAGCAGCTACCAACAGGGACGTAATTACGTTGTCAGCTGTAAAAATGAAAGCACGTTGTCAGCTTTATTCTCCAGAGGCTGACAAACTGTCAACAAATTTTCATCTGCAGGCTTTTAGTCATTAATAACTCCATAATTAAGAGTAAGAAAAAGGACTCTATTCCAGAAGTGCTCAAGGGCTAATCGGGACACGAAGTTTTTCATCATACCATACTTGCACTTTTTAAGCCTTGTATTATTTCCCATGAAAGAAATTCACCAGCCCTTCAGAAGGTGAATTACCTCCACTGCTGTAATTCCCAAGCAAGTTCTCCATTTTGGAACAGTTTTTCCCCTTTGAATGGTAAGAGCCGAGGAACAGAAAAGCGCAGCCACGTTACCACATAATGCAGAGATAGGAATTTCACAGATGAGGTCACACACACAAAACAAAAACTTTCTGCAATCTTTGGACCTGCTAGGAGGAGAGAAGCAGCAGCTTTGTACAACACAATGGTTTATGTTAATTTGGAAAGCCAGAGTTTAAATGTTTTGCCTCATAAGAACCATTAAGAACAAGCAATACCGTTCAAAACAATCTATACTATTGATGCTGAATGCCTCATAACAAGGAATGAGGGAGCTGGGAGATTTCTATCCACAATGAGGGCAGGCAGATACTAGAAGAGGTTGCCTAGCAAGGCTATGGAATCTCCATCCTTGGAAATATTCAGAGTGGCTAGATAAGGCCCTGAGCAATCTCATCCTAAATTGGTTCCAGCTTTGAAGCTGGGCTTACGCTGAACAGGAGGGGCTGCATCCAGGGAATCCAAGGATTCCTTCCCACATGATTTACACCATTCCATCAGTCTGTGCTCCTCCCCCCATCTTGCTCCCCAGTTAGCACTCAGTTCTTATAATGCCTCTGTACCTTTTCAGCAGTATTTAAATAGATGTAGTCCAAAGACATCAGAAGTGCCTTGTTTTTAATAGAATTAAATGAAGAAATCAAGATCTGGTATTATGTTTTTGCATTTAGATCACATTCCTCTTCTCACATTTTTCAAACACTGGCTTAGCAGCAATTTCTCTGCTTACTCAAAAGTAACATCTCCAGTGCCAGTGACCTAGGAAACTTGTTACAGTGACAACTATTTATCCTTCCCAAGCCTTGGCACCACTGTTTTTCATAGATACAAGATGAACAGGCCTCTTGGTAGTTCATCACCCATATTTATTCCAAACAGCAACTGTAGAATAAGTCCAGAAATCCACCATGTGTAAAAGGCACAGCAAGCGAGTCTTAATGAAGAGACGTGGTACGCTGTCACCACTCTTCATGCCTCTCCTGTTCCTTTTTCACTAGAGGGAGCCTTGATACATCTGGATAAAGTTGGAAAAGCTCACAATGCCTCATCCTCACTGCCACGCAACTTGTACTAGCACAGCACTGTGCTAACTCCCCTGGCAAACTCTAGCCCCTACGAAAGCCACCTATGAAAGCTTGAAGAGGTACCATAGCTTCACTTCCTTCACAGCTCACCTCCTGTCCAGCTCAGCTCCTGGGTGAGTGGGAGAGCAACACACAGACACTGATCCTTGCTGACGCCTTGTTGCTTGCCACCAGAGCACAGCCTACAAGATTTCTCAAGTATTACTGATGAAGCAAGTCAGCAAGTTTAACAATGCCTACCATTTGCTTGCACTAACATAACTCAGATCATGAAATGTAACCCATTTAAACACAGAAAACAAGAAAGAAAAAAAAAAAGAAACAACTGCAATTTGTTTTCCAGTCCCATAATTTTCAAAGCCAGATAACCACACGGGTCCTTTTGAGGAACTCAGTCAACACGACTTCACCTATTTCTCTCCTCAGTTCATTCTGCGTTTGAGTCAAAGCCAAATTTTGATAAATTTCTGGCCATGACTGATGTTGATGACATACATACAACATCACAGAAATTTATATATTGCTTCTAAACTAATTTAAATGCCCACACAGCTGAACCTTGAAATGTGTGAATTACTGATCAAGTCTACAAGACATTAGCAACAAATTTATAGATGGCAAGAATAATTCCTGTTGTCATTGGATGGACTACAAATTATTACAAGCCATTTGTATCATGTACATTTTTCCCTGCTGGCTGAGCACCTTATGCCTACCTGCAAGACCAGGCAAACATGAGCAGTTTTATCTTGAATGCCCCATACAGCCACAACAGCAATGGTGAGCATCCTGCTTCTATGGGAGACACTGCTTGGGGCAGCTGACAACAGAATCAAGAATTCAATGGAAGACATGTTGGTCAGCTGCACATTCTCCAAATAGGAAAAGTGCTTATGTCTAACCTGACCAGCAGTCCCACATAGCTTGTTTCATAGTATAAAACACTTCTAAAATATATAAGTAGCTTCAAAATACTTTCAGCATTGCCCTTTTTATATTAGTGTTGAGAATTGGTTGAAAAGACCGATTAGACCAAGAAAGTTGGTACCATGAAGTCCTTCTTTTAAGAAGAAACACAGTGTAATGCAAACAATTTGGAAGAATCTGGATCAATACCAACTGATTTTAGTACACAAGCAGTAGCACCAGCTACAAACTGCACACACCACAAACATCTTTTCAAGATTGGACATTAGTTTAAAATAACAAAGTGCCTCTTCAGACTAGCAGTAAAATCCTCACTCCATGGAAATCAAGGTCCACTAAATTTAGTAAGCTCTAAACTGTCACCCTCTCCTATCGTTTAATTAGCAACTTAACCTATGAACTTTTACAGAAGAATCGTGGAATAAACAATCCTCCTTAGAAGATCATGAGTTTGTACTTGCTTAGAACACAATTCTCTAACTGTCTTGAGCAGCTGTGCCTGTGACTGCAATCAGTCAATACAAAAGCCCATGTTTCTA